CGGGGACCCTTGCGACTGCCATCATTTCCTCTTTAAACTTCTCATTGTCCTTCGCCACATAAATTGTCGCCTGAACCTCTTGGTCGTTCCAGAAGCGGTTAATTCGACCTTTGAGCCTTATCCGGTCTTCCTCCTGCCGCTTTCTTTCCACCTCGAACAACGCCGTGAAGTGGTTGGTTATGGCCTTCTAAGTGTCGGCCATAGCCTGGTTCACCGCCTCGGCTACTGCTCGACCAAAGGCAACCTCCTGATCCGTTAGCTTTCCTTCAATCGACTGCAACCTCGACTCCACCTCCTATAGCTATTCGTCCACCGCATCGGCACGTTGCGACAGAGTGGCCACCGTTGTCAGAGGCCGAATTTCTCACAGCAATATTAAACTAATTAATGACATTAAGGGGAAAACTTGATTACTTGATTGATTAACAAACTAGCAACGATTACAAAGGCGATAACTAATGACTTGAGGCCATCAATCTCATGGTAGCTTTAGGCTACTACTCTCAAGACTTGTCTAACTCAATATCAGGATACCCAAACAAGTTAACCAGCTGCCATACCTATACAAAAGGTCCTAACATAAAACATGTGATGACTTAGCTAAATTAGCAAAACATAAATTAGACATTGTAGAAACTAGTGACTTGCTTCCCCCTTCTTCTTCTTCTTAATTAACTTTGTCATCTTGCCCTTTGTTGGAGTTGACCCTTATTCCTCCCTTGCCTCCCTCAATTGTCGTTCCTTGACCCTCTTGACCACCATGATCCGACTTGCCAAGCTTAGCCCTCCGGGTATACACTTGTATGGGTCGGCCCATATTTAGGTCCATCACACAAAGACAATGCTTGCATTTCGTGAAGCCCTTGGTAAGCTCAACAACTGCAAGATGAACTCTTGGCCCTCTGTTGAAAAGAGTTGATCCTTGCTACCATAGGAAATAACCAATTTCTTCAAGGTGTCAGATTTTTTAAGCAGAAATTCTATCAGCTGAAGAAGAGTTTGGCTAGGCTTTTCATACTCGTGAATAGAGACATTTTTAAATCTATGGATGTCCAAAGAAGAAGAAACCTCTTGCACAAGGAGTGTATTGCAATCACAACAAAACTCCTGAAATTATATGAAAGTATGTTAGAGTTATTAAATGGTGGAACGCGATATTAGCTAAAAAAAACTTGTTATACAAAAGTACAAAACAGCTCACCCCATTAGCATATATTATAAGTTCCTCCAACATGTATGAGTTGCCTAGCAATTTGAACATGCCTAGCAAACAACTTCCATGGAACCCAGGCCTCAGAGCTATATATGTGTCCATGGATTGCATAGCTCACTTAGTTTGTCATTAAATTCATGTCCACAGTGTTTTAATTGCAGAAACAAATAAAATCAAAACTATTACTTGTACTTTTTTTCTTCGGATTATTGTCAACTTTATAGCCTGTAAAACCAAGGAGTGAACAACTTGATAACAGAGATAGAAAACACTACAATGCAATAAGTTACTTAGGAAAAAAATTGCTTGAATCTCTCGGAACAAACAGAGAAATAATTTGGTTTCGACAATCACACTTGGTTAACATCAGTTTGTTAGACTACATGTACGGTAGCCATTAGCCAAACATATTTGCTACATCACAATCGGGGTAATGGTCAATCAAGTTAAGAGAGTGAGAAACTGAAGTCTAAATGACTTGAGAATTGGTTCACATAATATACTACTACAAGTTTACAAGTGCTCAAGCCTTCAAATATAACATAAATCTCAACTACAAGAAAATGAAGAGAAAGAACTACCCACCATATATAAAGCAAAAGTGTAGAATTCATCAAAAGAAAAGGCAAGAAAACAACTCACCTGACAAGCTTTGTTTCTCTGCTCGAAAACTCAGCATTTTGAAATTTGTTAAGTAATAATTCAAAATGGTGAACACTCCTAGCATCCATATCTTGATCTTCGAAAAAGGAACAATCTCTGATTGTTCCTACACGGACTGATGAAACATCCACCACTTTAAGAAAATCCAAGTGTGCTTTTTTAACACGCAAGAACATGATGTTAGGGCAATCAAGTGAGTAAGGTTCGGGTGAGTCATTTATGGGTACTTTCATCGTAGACTCTGATAAGAGATCAAGAGAAAACGTCTCAATGCTTGGAGTAGTAAAATGCACCTTTCGTAATATAAAAGGATTTGTTATAGACAGTTCTTGTAAACATGGGCATCCATTAATCATAAATTGAAAATTTTCATCATTTAAAGCAACACGGTCAAGCACCAATGTTCTCAATGATCCCATGTACACAATACGCAGTAGCTAGATCACCAATTCTGCAAGCTCAAGCACAACAACACATTGACAACGAAAAACTAGAGGTGGCAAGTAAAATAAACCATATTTCCACATAGAATGAACCTTCAACACCTTAGTTTTTTTTTTTTCTTAAACCGAATTTAATCCATTTCATCAACTTATCCTGTGAAACCCCATATACAAAATTTAATTCAAGCATGTTAATAATGAGATTTTTATGATATTTGATCACAATGTTGATCAATCTTTCCTCATTGCAAGATAACCTAAGAGTAGGAGTCAAAGTCCAAAGACCACCAAATCTGCGAATTAGAACAGTTCTTATAGCATCTCTAATTTGTAGAAAAGATAGTATGTGAACAAGTACATCATTTGGCAATTCGCTTAATCTATCTCTGATACCATCATCTTTATCGCAAAGCCTTTGCTTCTTCGACCTAGTTTTCATGATATTTTAGATTTCAATCTACAAGAAATTCAATTAGAAAAATGGGTTACTAGAAATTCAATTAGAATCGCCCTGAAATTATGATCAATTTCACTAAAATTAGATAAAAAGAATTGTATGACTTACTTAATTCGAGTACCTAGTAATTAGTAGTTGCAGGGGTTGGAGAAGAAATTGGAAGAGTTCATCCGAAATTCTGCAAACCCTTCTTAATTCCACGGCTCACAAAATGGGGGGCGGGAAAGGGTGAGATTAGTAAGATATACGAGTTATTTGAACGGGTTACGAGTTACGAATTACGAGTAGACGTACGACCTAAATTAAGTGTGTTTTCTTCCACTTATTGGACCTGAAATTATTTTAACTCATTTCATCTAGAACTTATTGGAATTTATTAAATTATATTGAATTTATTAAAACTTATTGGACTTTATTAAAACTTATTGAACCTGATTAAACCTTTTTATTAGGCCTGATTAAAACTTAATGGAACTTATTGGACCATATATAACTTATTGGAATTTTTATTAGATTTTATTGAACTTATTATACTTTATTGAACTTATTTAAGTTGGGTAATTCTTATCTGAACTTATTTCTTCTGAACTGAATTAATTTTTCCTGAATTAAACTTATCTGAATTTATTTAAACTAATCTGAAATTAACTGAACTTATTAAAACTTATTTTAGTTATAATGTGACCTTGAGTAACCCTTATTATAACTTATTTTTCCTGAACTAAACTTATCTGAACTTATTTTTTCCGAATTGAACTTATTAGACTTGAAATAACGAAAACAAAGTGAACAAAACAGGCCCTAAGTGCATCACTTATCCTACTTTCAGTTTTTATTATGTCTGTGTCACGTTTTTTTATTAAGTGTATCACTTTTTTTTGTCGTCCTTAATTATATATCTCTCATCACATAGTCCACACGCGATTTTCTTACTCTCTCCGTCTTATGTATTGTTTGGTTGACATAGGAATTAATTTCCTATAAACATTTGTATTTTATGGGAATTAAATCCCACATTAAATTTCCTAGGAATCAAGTAAACTTATTTGATTGTTATATATATTTGATTGTTATTGAGATGCGAAGGGGGAGCTTGGTAATTTAATTCCCATATATTGTGAGAATTGAAAATTCCCACAATTTTACATTTCCTACATTCTCACTTTTTATGGTCCTACCAAACAACCCCTATTTTCAAATTTTATGGGAATTTTCAATTCCTGCATTTTGTATGTGCAACCAAACAACACCTCAGAATTACCGACATGCTTGACTTTTTATATCAACTTTGACTATTTTTTATTGCTATACTAGGTTAGTTCCCGTGCTATGCACGATAATTTTCAATAACCATTATTAAACTACGATTATAATTAGTTTTTTTTATAAACATTTTAAATATATAGTTGACAAATTTTGATTATAGTAAATGATTACAAAAGATATGTTAGATATAAAATGATGTAGAATGATTAAAATTATGGTAATAACTTTTTTATAGCTATATAAATATTTGTGTTAAACATATGTCAAATCTTTTTTTATTTTAAGTAATTATATTGTATAAGATTAGGAAATTATTTTTGTATAAGATTTGTTTCTTTACTTGAATTTCATTAAAAAAAAAATAGAAAATAAAAAAATACAACTAAGGACACACCAGAAGATGACACGTGTCATTAGTGGTGTGTCTTTTAGTATATTGTTATTGATCTTTAACGTAAAAAATTAATTTTCAAAATTATATATTGAGACAATTACAATAAATACTACTAGTAACATGAATGTAGTTTATATTTATGTATAAATTATAACATTGAATGGTCATTGATTAAAGTGGATTAAGTGAATAAGGTAAAAAGTCAAAATGGGACACTTGATAAAATGAAAAAAGTATCTACATTCACTAAGTACAAGGATTTCATATAGTTTTTGCAAAAGTATAGAGACTAGAGAATACTACTGCCTCTGTGTTTTTTTTAAGTACATCAATTTAACTTTTGTACTATTTATATGCCACTTTAATTTGATAAATGTTTATGCTATATAAGGAGTACAACAATAGAATTCAAAACAGTCTACTCTAATCTCCATGTATAATTTTTGTATATCAACTTTTTATAATTTATATCTATTACTAATTAAAAATATTATAGTAATGGTTAAAGCTTTGCGTTGACAAATATAGGATGGAAATGTTAATTAGAATGGGATTCCGTACCTAAGAAGTTCATCTACTATCACAGTACGCTAGATTACTGAACAGTTTTTTAAAAAAAATGTTGTCCGAAAATCAAAACCCTAAAAAATGGCGGTACACCTGGGAAGCTCAATCTCACATCCCTCTTCTCAAACTCTTCATCTTCTCCCCAGAAATTAATCCAATTACTCATTGCATTGATCTCAATGTCGATTTAAAGTTCGAAAAATCACTTGTCATCTTAACTTGGAACCATCATAAATCCCCAAATCCAGTCTCTGTATTCGTTCCGCTACCTAGGGTTTTAGTGGACCTCGATAATCCTCTCAATTTCAGTGCTCTTGAAGATCACATTCAAGTTAAGATTCCTCTTCTTCTTTCTGTTGATCATCCAATTGTTTCCAGTTTTATTTCTGAACTTAGTTCTGGAGATGAATTTGGCGCGTTTTCTTCATCCGACGGTTTCCTTGAGCCGCTTTCCATGGATTCTGGTCCGATAATTTATTCATTTTTTTGAATTTTCTTGTTTTAAAGTTATATTTTGTTTGTTTCTAGCTTTAATTTTGTGTATTGTTGTTATGTTGGAGTAGATTTCAAGGCATTGTCGTCCAAAGGAGATGTGGACTTCTACTGCAGAAAATGTGCGTTTAAGCTGACTAACCGTTCTGTAAGGTAGTATTTTTTTTTCTTTTTAGTTGAATCTATATTATCGGATAGTGTGTGTAAGTTGTCTGTGAAAAGGATTTGTTTGTGGTTGATTGCTCGAATTTTGTCATAATGTCGTGTTATTGTTATATTGTTCATGGTAATTACAATGCTGTTGTGAATTGGTTCTCTTACAAACAATTCGATGTATGTTCAACTGCTGATTGCATTTACTGTGAGTTGAAAAGCAAAATGTAGTGTGTTACTAAGGATCAAACTATAAATGAAAGATGAAATACGTGTGAAGTTGTTTAAACCTCGCGGTAATTGAAAATGATATGCATTGATCATCAATTGTTGTGGAGTACGGACTAATGAGTTCTGATGTGATGTTATAAGCCAATGAAAAATTTAGCTGTGTTCTGATCTTCTGTGCAGATTAAGGCTATAAGCATTCTGTCCCTTTGTATTTTGTGAGTCATACTATCTGTTTCTAGGTTTCTTAGCTGCAACTCTTTTTTAAATGTCTATGAGTGATTTAGCTAATCACTATCATTATGATTTTTATTTATTTTTTTTTTAATTTTTTTTTTTTGATAAATATCAGTGTATTATTTGAGGGCTATGTTTCAGTATTCCCTCTATATGACATCTCTAGGCCTTTCACTTTTATGCTTGAGCTCTATATGAATAATAATCTCTTTGAGTTTGCAATTATCTGCAAATACATGCTGCTCTCTGTTGTTAATTTGGCTCAACTATGTGAAATTCATTACATTTGGCTTATGTGAGTATAGGTGTTTGGTGGACCTGCCTTCTGTTAACTGGACTGATGTAGCTGACAATTGGTTTGGGACTTGCTGCTGCTCATTTGGAGGGATCAGTGAGAAGCTTGTGGATAAATATGTCAAATCCTATAGGTGTGCTGAGGGCACATGCCTATTAACTGCTGCATCTGTCATTCTTTGCAAGGATGATATTTCAGGATTTAATTCTCCAAAGGCAGATATAATTAGAAGTGGTGAGAATAAGGGGTGGGGTGACATTGCTGTTAATTCTATTACCGATGTTGGCGCTAGTATATCGGTTGAAAGTCCCTTATTGTATGATTCTTCTGCAAAACTTGGCTCAGAGCACATCTCTACAGATATGAACAGAGAATCCTCAGAATTTTGTGAAGACCAAGAAGAGAAGCCATCTTGTGCTCCTGCAAGGGTTGATTCTGCTACTGATGCTGAGGCAGCACACTGCGGTTGTGAACATGATACTTTAGAGTCTTCTAAGTACGAACCTGCTAGTGGTCCTGCTGCTCTTGAAGCTGACCAGAAATCATACCTCAATTGCTATCTCGGAAATGCTTTTTTATTCAGATTAGATGGCCTTTCAAAAGATATCGACTGGATTGATTTCGCATGTCCTCAATGCTGTTGTACACTGGGTGCATATCCTTGCAGTGATGGTTCTAAACCACTAGATGGTGGCATTCGACTTCTTAAATGTAATATCTCAATTTTTTCACCTTCAGAGTTATCAGCTGACTTATTCAGGTAATTGGTGAAACTTTCTGCTGATTTTCCTTCCCTATTTATGTTTCCTTGCATTGGTAAGGTTTTCATCTGAAATTTGCATTGATTACTTGGCTCTTGTGGACAGTAAGTACACATTGGAGAGAATGTTCACTTGCCAACTCCTGGAAAGTGCTAAAGATGAATTGTCCTTCCGCTCTGTGGTTAAGGATCTGAAGACAAAATCTTCCATGATGCAAATAGTTCTACTTAATCCAAATTCATGGTGCTGTTCTGGTTGTTGCTCAGAAGGTACTGCAGAACCATTCGTAAAAATCAATCTGCACCCTGTTGTGAAGGTGCTTTTTTCCCATTGCTGTGACAATCCTATCTCCAAACCCAGGTCAGTTTACCTACTTGAAACATTACCCTTGCCAGATTATTATTTTTGAGAGTTTAATCCAAGGAGCTTAAATTAGTTAGTTCTATTATCTGTTAAATGATTTAAGGCTGCAAACAAATCGAACATAAGTGTTTAAGCTTAAGTGAATTGGATAAAATTGTTAGTGAGTTTATTGCTTTAGATTTATGACCAAACTTGTTTGCTAGCTGTCCGCAAGTGTTGGTTTGTTTGCATACCTTCATATATTCGTGTGTGTTCATCGTCAAATTAGTTTTCTAAATTTAATTCACTTCTACTATAATTTCCCCTTTGCACTACAATATTGCACAAGAAAGAATGTGCCTTTGCATTAACCAGTTAAACTCAGAAAGGATTGTGTTTAATTTTATTTTTGCAGAATGGATCAAGAATGGGAAACAAAAAACCTAGTTGATGAGATCTATATGTTGAAACATGTCATTAAGGAGCTTGTAAAGTCCATCGAGAAGGCAACAGGCAACTTTCCTCCATCTTTTAGCTCCTCTCCTGGTTTTCTATTGTCTTCTGTGCTTAGATAATCTTCATATGGCTAGGTATATTGTTTTGCTGGGTAGTTCTGAATTTTTGTTCTAGTTGATGACACCTGGCTAACAATCAATTAGGGTTCTATCAAAGTTAAGTACTGCAACAAGTTGTGAACTCCATCATTTGGCTATTGCTTAGTATGCTCACATCATTAATTATATTGGTCACAAAAATTCCAAGATTTCTTTGAGTAGGTGTAAATTTGGGTTATTAAATTCACTCATCTGATCGATACCATTATGATAGCTCGGCTTATTATTGCTTTATTGTTAAGTTTTGCATCTTTTAGTCTGTAGGTGCCTTATCCTTAATGAATTTTTTTTTTTTTTTTTTTTTTTTTTTTCGGTTGAAGTTGGAATTTATAGTTTTACCATATGTGTTGTGGTTTAAGAATATGGGTGAAGATACCACTTTACTTAAAATCTTATAGTAGAATACCTTAGGATTGTCTTTAGCTATGTTTATAGACTTATAGTAGAAGTCCTTGGGATTGTCCTTGGTTAGGGAAGATTTGTAGGTGCTATTGCTTGGATTTTCAACAAATCATGTGGTTTCACAAAGTTTCAAACTAGTAGGCTATGACATTCTTAAAGCTTTTGAAATACTTGCAAGATTTATCAATGATCAAACAGCATGCATTTTTCAAAACCCAAGTAAGATAAACTTCAAAATTCACAATAATATTAGCTAGGACGATCTCAAGGTCTCCCACATGTTAGGATCAAGAAACATGTTTTTTTTTGTTTTTTTTTTTTTTCCTTTTTTTCTCACGTTGTAAATTCACGACACACATACAGCGAATTTTAGTTCTCATCAGTTGTTGAATAGTAAAGGTATAAAAATAAGAGTTGGATTAGTAAAAACCTAATTTTAATGTAATCAAAGAAAGATCAGCATCCTTGAATTTAGAAAGAACGGATTTTTGTAGAATGGATCTAGGATGGGAATAAAAAAACTGAGTTAGTGAGAATGTGTGATATGTGAGCCATGCGATTAAAAGCTTGTAAGTTTATCCTCATTTGGGTCTTTCTTGTCCTCCATCTCCTTGCTAGGAAATTTAAGCTAGTTAATGACTAATATAGCATGGATTATTTGAGTTAGTTAATGACTAATCAATTATGGTTCCAAACTATAGCTCTGAGTTAATTGTCGTACTATCTAATTGTCAATAGGTTAAATGAATTTTATGAGTCAATTGATTTTGTGAATTCCAGCATTTGGCAATTGCTTTTCATTGTGTTAGTATGAGCAATTTGACTGTAAGATGTACTTCCACCTTTTGTTTCTTAATGTTTCTTTTACGCTTTTTCAACTATATTATCTGTACTCGTATATTAAAAAAGCTATTGAAAGTGAAATTTGAATCTCCAGTTTTGGGACCTTATATATATATATATATATTTTTTTTTTTTATTACAGTTTAAGATTACTAGCGATGTTTAAAAAAAGTTCAGAAAATAGAGGTGCTGATACATAATGCATTACATATTTCAGATTTCTACATGGAAAAAGAAACAACATTAAAGATAACAGAGGTGTTTAAGCAGTACAAAGATGTGAGTGAGTTAAATTATTTAGTGGCCACCAGGTAGTTTATCCTTGATCTTTTCCATAATTCCTTTCTTCTCTGGCTGCCCGTAGCCACTGTGGCCATGTGGATCAATTCCAGTAGTTGCTGTTGAGCCATATTCATCTTTCTTTCGCCCACCGCCTGGTAGTTTATCCTTGATCTTCTCCTTCAGCCCCTTCTTCTTCCTTCTCCCACCTTGTCCGTCATCCTCAGACTGCGATTTTCATTAATACGTTAGTATTTCGTAAAAGTACTTGTAAACAACACAATATAAGTTGCAGAAGTTAAGTGAACAACTTACAGAGCTAGAGCTGGAACTCCCAGAGCGGTGGAGCATACCAGTAAGACCACTTTCATGTTGTTTTTGATGTTGTAGTTGGCTACCACCCATATCAACAACACCAGTATCGTAGCTGCCACCGTGGGTTCTGGTGCCCATTCCTGTTTCACCGGTTCCAGTTCTAGTTCCAGCGCCCAATCCCATGTCATAGCGTGCTCCAGTTCCTGTGTCATACCTGTCACCTTGATAGGCAGTTCCCGTACCAGTGCCAACTCCTGGCGCTCCATAGCCAGGATCATAACCAGGAACTCCAGCATCTGTACCACCTGCATACTTGTCTGCTCCTATTGCCCCTATATCATATGCACCCATGGTACTTGCAGAGTACTGATTCTGAACCGGATACTCATCGGTTTGGCGAACCGGGTTTCCGTATTCATCGGTTTGGTGAACCGGTTTCCCATACTCATCCCTTAACCTATCCATCTTCTACCCCGAAATATTTATCCCTTTCTTTTCTCTCTTTCTTTTAGCAAGCTTAGTTTGCAATAGATTTGTGTTATTCACTTGGGTGCTTGATGAAGACAAAGCTCCTGAAAGGCTATATATGGTTTGGAGGGAGGCACTTGGGTGTTTGAATAATGAATGCTTCACGTGCATGACATGCCGAGTAATACTTTCGATCATCTGTGATGCTGACACATAGGCTGCTAAGGTGTTTCTGTCTCCATGACGTGGTGACACGTAAGACAGTCTCCTTTGAGTCGATGGTTGATCATAAACTAGTAATCTAAGCTCATCCTTTCTAATTTCGAATTCGACTGATATCCATGTGTCAATAAGATACGTACATACAGTACCACCTTATGCTGTGTTGCTGTCTGGTAATCTAGTGCGGTGCCTCAAGCTAATAGAAGGAATTTATGACTCCTTATGAGGTGTTTCTTTAGCTTCAAAAATCTATTACTCTCATCATACCTTTTCTTGTCATTTGGTAAATTACTTTCATTAACGTGAAATGTAACCCAAGTTCAACCAAGGACATGATGCGATTAACATGATCTTTATTAGTACTGAATACGAAGTACATTCATTAACATAAATATAATTACTAATTCTAATTATGTAGTTAGTATGGTCTCTATTGTCCAATTTTATTTCATTGAGTGTATTCATTAAATAGTTCATGTCATTGGTTGTATTTAGTGATTAAGGTCTTGTAGTTTAATTTATCAACCAATGGTTGTAGTTACACCATAACTCATGCTAATGACTAATGTATAATTATGCCTAATTTATACGTTAACAGATGTTTGGAACCCTTGTCCCTTCATTTATATTGTCCTTAAAAATTTGTGTAGAAGCCTTATGGACGTATTAGTGTTAAAAGACATTGATAACCACATTAATCCCGATTCTCTCCGCATCATTCTACTGAATGAAATTTCTATTGATTGATTAATTAATTTTCTTTATTTATATGTGATTGTAACTGTCTAATTGATCCATATTGAATACTTCAAGGTGAAGAGAATGCGGCCTTAGTGTGCATATGATAAATAGTATAGCTTGCGATTACTTATCAAGTGTAGCACAACACATATTAACATTGATATCTACACTTCAGAGTTATACGGTTTTTGTCCTTTTGGAGAACGTTTTGGGTGAACATTTGCAAGTTGTGTAACTTATTTTTCGAAGATCATTTTATTGTGTGATTAAAATTGCTTTTGAAATCAAATTGAACAAGCATTAATTTACTTTGTATCTTAGTATGTATTGATTAATTTACTTTGTATCTTAGTATGTATTGGTACTGTCTCTACAAAATGAAGTGATGGTCACCAAGGGTCATATCCTAGCAAAAATTACTTGTTCTTGATGATCAGTTGAACACGGGTAACACCACCAAGTCCTGCACAAACTTCCTCAGATTTACATTACATAAGAGTGAACATTACAAAGGATTTTTTTTCATAAATACGTCGTTCGTGAATTGTAATATGTAGGAAAATTAATTAATACAAGCTCCAATATGAGTTACACTTGAAAACACTTGAATCTTGACATTTGAAAACACTTGTTCTTGACATTTAACAACAATATGAGTAACTAATCACTTTTATCACTCATATCATAAACAGAATTTTACACCTCAAAATATAATAGAAAATTAGAAACCATACATTATCGTAGAAAAAGTTTACAACATAAAGAAAACTAATTTCCTAAAAACAAAGGACCAAACCACACACCCACATTTAATCCCACTCCTAAATGTATAAGCCTTGCAACAAAAAAAGAGGCTTCGTACTGCTCACACTGTTTATTGTTCACTTGTAAATTTGAAAGACTAAAAAAAAGCAGAAACCAAATCTATTGCTGATATTACTGATGATAAACACATTATTGTTTCCTTATTTTATCATCCTCGGCGTTGCCCTGCTCTTTGTTTATCTCCTCCGGTGTCGTTGCCACCGTGATTCCTTCCTCTTTCACCGGCACCGATACTTTGGGCCCACTCATCCATCTGATCTCCTATATCCTGACCTTCCAGACCTCCAACACTTTCAATTACCACTGTTTCGCTTTGCATCACAGGATTTCCACCTCCACCTCTCTCTCTTCCCATTCCATGAGTCCGCTCACCCATACCGGTATCAAAGCCTTCGCCGACACCACCACCACTCTTTCCGAAACCACCTGTGTCGAAACCACCACTGGTACCGTACGTGCCAGATAAACCGGTGGTGTGGGGGACATGGACTCCAGCATGGTACCCTGTAGCAGTAGGTCCCATGCTGCCTGCAGTCCCGTAAGTGTAACCTGTGCCAGTGCCAGTGCCCACATCATCAGCAGCAGGGCGACGTAGCTGCTGCTGCTGCCCCATGTCCTCGGAGCCGTATTCATTACCGTATCCAGTAGGATCGTAGCCAGGAGCACCAGCAGTAGTCCTGGATGCTCCGGTAGAGCCAGGTGCTCCTAATGGATCACGTGCACCATATGCGCCTGTAGTTCCCGGAGCTCCCAAGCCACCACCTTGGCCAGTGTTTCCTGTGTGTCGTTCAGTTTGACGACCTGCCATATTTTTATCAGAGTAAAATTTGATGGATGTTTATTTTGTAAGTTTAAGTTGGATAATAGTGTATGTAAAAGTGGATAAGTTTGTAGCATAAGTAGATGATGTAATGTGTATATATACAGTTTATGAGATGAATGTTGGTTTACGTATACATTCGGTGAGAAGAGTGATAAAGACATAACAATTTCATAGAAAGTGGACACGCAGTTGTAAGGTTGATGCGTGGCTGAATGTTGGGAGATGTTAGTTGACACTATGCAGCTTAGCTTGTTTATAAGATTGGATCAAGATTCTGTGATAAGCTTGCTAAGTCAGAGTTACAAGACTACTAGAGAACGTTTTGTTTCTCAATTATCGGGTGAGGTTCCTTGTGAATTGTTAATTGTTTTCGGGTAAATCTAGAGTTTATTGTATCCAAAATAATTTATAGGCGTTAAAGTTCTAAGAAATTACTACTTGTATCTAAATGGCATGCTTCCATTGGTGCAATTGACCAATAACTTATCCATAAGTAGTAACTTTTTTTTTTTTTTTTTGACAGGCAGTAGTAACTTAAATTGTAAAATTTCCCAAAAAAAATAAAATAAAAATAAATGTAAAAACAAAATTTATCATATGACTAATGACTTGGCTCTTTGGGTTTTCAGTAATTATTAGGTTCAAAATTAGAGGAAAATATGTGTAACCAAACTACCAAAGATTTTATGATCTTCCTGTAATAAAAACAAATATTCTAATCTTATTATTGAATATTCTGCATTTTGGTAGAAGTATTCTGAAACGGAGCTAGTAATGAAAATGTTGTTGAGAAAAGCAAAGCTAACACTTTGGTTCATGTGCTTATTTTGATTCTGTAAATCAGTTGTGCACGTAAAAAAAGTGGATCAACCATTTATATAAAAGAATGGTTGTGATTAAATCAAGTTTATAGCATATACCTAGGGGTGGGACTTTTCAAACCGAACCGTGAAACCGCCCGTTACCGAACCGAACCATCACGGACCGATCCGTTTATAAACCGATAAATATAAACCGAAAACCGAACTGAACCGCTCAATATCAAACCGAAACCGAATTGAACCGTTCAATGTCAACTCGTTACGGACCGTAAACCGATAACAAACCAAACTGCGCAAATCCGAACCGAAACGAAACCGAACCGAATGGTTTATAAACCCGTTAATGACCCGAACCGTTTATAAACCGAAACCGTTTAAACCGAAAAAAAAACCGTTTAAACCGAACCGTTTGTAACCCGCTAACCGTTTAAATCGACCCGTTTATGAACCGAAACCGTTTAAACCGCACGTATAAACCGAACCGTTATAATCCGCTAACCGTCTAAACTGAACTGCCATAACCCGTTAAACCGTTAAAATCGAACTGTTTTCGAATCGCAACCTGTTTAAACTGATCCGATTACAAACTGCTTAACTCAAATTGAATTATTTACAACCTAAATGGCTAAATAGTAAATACAATTAATGTTAATAAATGTAGATCTAATCAAACGGCTTAGGTTTATACAAAGGTTTATATCACCTAGATCTAGGCCAACGGCATTATTAATATCGTTTTAGATTACTTATTTATTTTAATTACAAGATATATCATTTGTATCATTTTCATTCCAGTAATAATGCTAGTCCACCCAAATTATCTTCATTGTTCCTTGATATTCATGATCATCCAATAACACTCAAAGCCTCAAAGGTAACATAAGATTGGAGATGTATGAGATTGCGTTACACAAGTGGCATAAGCATTAGAATATTACTGTACTAGTCAATAAGGCGTACAATCATTCACATTATCACTTTATAAAACTTTCTTTTACAAGTATTTTGTAAAGGGGAGGACTAAAATGTTTATAAAACACATTTTTTTAGCTTTTCTTATATTAAACCAGATATTAAGTAAAAGAATTTTAATAAATACGGAGGCATCCCAAATCTGTAGCCACAATTATTTCATAACATTACCACAAATCCAGCAGATAAATAGCATTGAAATTAGAGTAATATCAACAAGCAATTAAAAAAAGTCACCATTTTCATTGATTAAAATTCACAATACATATACCAATACATAATGAAACTACTATCACTACTACCCAGATTAGATTTCAGATTTATCAACTGAAACATCATCAAGTTTAGGGTTGCAAAAAATGATACATTATATGATGAAGGGAGGAGTGAGAATGTGAGTGATTTGGGAGCAGAATCTTGAAGCAGAATCTTGAAGCAGCAGCACAGCACCCAAGAGCAGAGGAAATAGCAGCAACAAGCAGGAACCAGCACACGGAATAACAGATCAGCAACTTATCAGAAGCAAGGAATAATATAAGCAGAAGGGACTCAGCAGGAACTTATTTTTGTTTTTCAAAATTGCTCTCAGAATTACGTTTATCGTATCATCACTGAGCAATGACTGTTTTAACTTAAAACTTGAAAAATGCTGCCAGCAAGTACATATACATTGAAGTCTCAACATAAATGAAAAGGGCAACGATGATTCAAGAAAAATTAAAACAGCAAGCATAAGAAACAGCAGCAACAAAACTTATCATAAATTCATAACACAAAAGGCAGCAACACAGCACCTCAAGCTGGCAGGAGGCAGGAACCAGCTCATGCAGACAACAATATAGGCAATAACAACTCAGCAGAGACAACAACCAAAAGGCAAAAGCACTACCAGCAGGCAGCAGCTCATAACAAGTTCAAGCAACTTCAAAATTATAGCTTTTGTTTTTTTAAAATTGCTCTCAGATTTACATCACTGAGCAATGGTTGTTTTAACAAAAACTTAAGAAATGCTGCCAGCAAGTACCAAAGTACATTTAACTATTTAAGTCTCAACATAAATGACAAGGGCAACGATTTTAAAAGTCTTGAAAAATGCTGCCAGCAAGTCTGAAAATAAATGACAAGGGCAACGATTTTTCAAGATAAAATAAACCACAATGAGACACAAATACCAGTTATGCAGATGAAGCACTTTCGGCTTCAATCTCTTTACCAATAAGGAGGACGTCTTCCTCAACATCCGCGACACCAATTTTGGGTGGTAACCAATGCCTCAACATTCTTTGGCAAAAGTTTACCCCTATATCCTCAAAAAGAAAAAAACATACATAAGAAAAGCTTAAACTTTTTCAACAGTTTCCAATGAAATTATGAACCTATAAATAAACATGAGATGTTTATTTCACTAGCCCTAAACTAGCATTTATTTTATGCACATAACTGCAGAAAATGACACAATTTGGTCTTTTGTTAGGTAAAAAAGCCAATAACCACATAATCTGAACAACCCATCATCATTACTTTTAAATCGAGCATAATAAACAACAAAACAGCACAAATCTACCATTTTCCCGTAAAAAACAAAAATACAATCAACAACAGATTTTAGGCATATTTCGACTATATTCAAGCAAGAACAACAACAATAATCAAATACAAAAACAGAAAAACTGTATTAAAAAAAAACGAAAAGGAAAAAGTAATTACCTTTGACGGCTTGAAGGAGATTTGAAGATGGAGAACTGCCTGAACTGGAGATCAAAAGAAAAAATCAAGAATGTAGATTATCAGAACTTGAAATAAAAAAAAAAACCGAAACAAAAACGAAAAAATCGAAAAAATTAACAAAAAAAATTACCTTGAGGTTTGACGGCTTGAAGGAGAGGAAGATTTGAAAAAAAAAAAAAAACGAGAATGGAAAAGTTAGAAATCAGAACTTTGGATCCAAAACAAAAATGAAACGAAAACAAAAACCCTAAATAAAAAAAGTAAAAAACCGAAACGAAAACGAAAAAAATCAAAACGAAAACAACAAAAATTAAAAAATAATTACCTTGAGGTTTGACGACTTGAAGGAGAGGAAGATTTGGAAAAAAAACGAGAATGGAAAAGTCAGAAATCAGAACTTAGATCCAAAACAAAAATGAAACGATAACAAAAACCCTAAATAAACAAACCGAAACAAAAACGAAAAAAATCAAAACGAAAACAACAAAAATTAACAAAAAATTACCTTGAGTTTTGAACTTTTGACGGCTTGAAGCCTTCAAATTGAAGGAGAGGAAGATTTGAAAAACAAAAAAACGAGAATGTAAAGCGAGAAATCAGAAATGTAGATCCAAAACACAAATGAAACGAAAACAAAAACCCTAATTAGGATTTTTAAAAGTTGAGAAGTTGAGCTTGAGATTCTTGAGAATTTCAGAACGAAAGAGTGAGAAACTGAGAAGTTAGAGAGAGAAACTATGAGTGAGTAAAACGGCTGAATGGCTGATAGAGTGGGTTTTTTTTCTTCTAGGTTTAGGTTTTACTTGTTCAGTTGATCTAACCGTCCATATTCAATCTCAACATCTAACCGTTCATTTTTTTTTTGTAGATTCCAGAATATTCATCTAGATCTAACGGTCTAGATTTTTCTTTGTGCTTTTCTAGGTCTTTTTGACCGTTTTTTTTAATTATTTATTATTATTATTATGAGGGATTATTATTAATATTATTATTATTATTGTTAGTATAATTATTTGTTAATATTATTATTATTACTAGTTTACTACTACTATTATTATAATATTATTATAATTATTATTATTATTACTATTATTATTATTTATTATTATTATTATTATTATTATTATTATTACTATTATTATTATTATTAGTTTATTACTTATAAGTTATAAATTGTAAGAAACGCAAATGTTTCAAAATTGAAATTGATTCAATACGACATAGTTAATGACTTAATGCACATCAATATCTGACATCTCTATATGTATATTATATATATCTGTGAGTCTGTGACTGTATATCAGTATATATATAATAAACTAATAATAACTTAATAAGTAATACTAATAACTAATAAAGTAATGAAAATCTAACCATTGTTTTTCATGGGCATTCAATCTAACCGTTGTATATTTGACTATTCGTACATTAGTATTGCATAATGATTTCATCACCACTTTAATTAGTGATTTCGTGATTTCGTCCATTTAACTTATTAAGTTGTTTGAGTTAGTAATCTAAATAAAGTAACAAACTAAATAACAAATCCATTTAATCTCGTGTAAGTTATAATTTATAAGAAATGCAATGTTTGGAAATGGAAATTGATTCAATACGATATTGTTAATGTATATGTAATTATAGATTAATTATTATGTATATCATATCGTACGAATGTACGGTTGGTATCATTATCATACTATCATAAGTATCATTGCCTCATTGAATTATTGGTATGTACTATAATCGATAAACATATTTACATATCTGATCATTAAAACTTAAAAGTTTAAAACACTTGTTGATCAATCTAATTGAATACTTGTACATTCTTAATTATCGATTTATCGTATTATAAGTATCAACTCATTAAATCATGGTCATGACACGATCTTTAAAACAATCATGAATTCATGACCCAAACCGCTTATAAACCGAACCGACATGATCCAAACCGTTCATAAACCGAACCAATTGAACTGTGTAAACCCTCCACTAAACCGGCCCATTTCAAACTGAACCGACATGATTCGCACCGTTTATAAACCGAACCGATATTGACCCGGGTAAACCCGCCCCTAAACCGACCCATTTCAAACCAAACCGGCTTGATCCAAACCGTTAGTAAACCGAACTGACATTGACCCGGGTAAACCCGCCCCCTTAACCGACCCGTATCAAACCGAACCGACATAATCCGAATCGTTTATAAACCGACCCGCTTATGACCCAAACCGAATTTAAACCGCAAAGAAATAAACCGAAACCAAACCGAGCCGTGACTAACCCAAACCGAACCAAACCGACCCGCCAGCTAAACTAAACCGTTTCAATCCGAACCGCTTCAAACCGAAACCGACTCAAACCGAGGTCAAACCGAACCGCCAGACCGAAGTCCCACCCCTACATATACCATTTACGTTTCATAGAACCATGATTTCATAACCATTGATGTTTATTATATATTCAAAAAATAAGCTAACAGCTTAATGGGGAGAAGATATTGAATCCTTAACCTCATGGTTGAAAGGTGAAGAGCTGAAGACTTTATGTCTCTTCAATTAGTATCCCACTTTAATTCCTGAACATATCAGCTATGTTTCATAGAAATACCCTCATTAGTCTCATATACAGTAGGTAATAGGTTAGTCACAATGTTTCAGTACTATTGCTCAAGTACATCTCAAATCTTCTACTACGTATTTTGTCAAACTTCAATGTGTGTATGTTATAAATAAGAGTAATTAGACCATCACCATCCTTTATAAGGTTTATTATCATGCTACATCAACAAATTTCTTATTTCCATTGCCTTTCTAGAAACCCGTTCATTATGGCGGGTTTAAAATGTTTTTCAAATAATTTGTTGTACATTATGTAAGATACCTAAAACATAAAAAATCAAAGATCTGATGTGTTCACAACATGATTTTCATTAATCAGTACAGAGGTGCAAAGCACAAACAAATACAGGGCATGTATAATGTATCTCTTCACTGCTTAATTTTTGTTATTCTGTATAGACATATAATAGCAAGTACGAAGCAGTATATTGATAAACCTGAACACCTAATTCAATACATAACAGATGAGATAAAGCAAGTACGAAACTACACCATATAGATGTACATCACCAGAAAATTAGTCCATTTAACTCCTTTCTAGAGTGATATACTTAAGCTTCAATACAATGCTCAGCAACGGCTAAAGTCAAAGCAACCACCAGTAGGGTCTGGCCTGCACTCAACATTTCCTTCATCTCCAGTATTGCCACCACGAACCTGCCCGTGTCCCTTCCCTAGGTCCCCGACAGAGGAACCCTGGTTAGTTGCTCTTGAGACACTGCATCATTAGTACCCTCAGTACGATAGCCTGTACTAGTACCATTACCTATGTCAGTGGTTGAATTATCGAACCCTACAGTTCCAAATCCCGCCCCTATGGTCCTGTTATTTGGGTCCGTAGATCTGCCACCACGGTCACCTCCTTGACCTCCTCTTCGAGCATCTGCCATCACTAACTCTAGTTACTTTTTTTTTTACCCTTTTTAATCCCTTATAAAAACAAAGGTGATTAACTACTTTCAGTTCTTAACTTGCAGAAGGTTGATCAAGTGTACTTTGGGGTTTGGACTGCTTATAGCTTGTTACAACTTGAGAGCACAACTACTTTAAATTATTATGTGTCATTTATGTCTGCCTTATGCAAAGCGTGGCATTCGCCATATGATGGCACGTCGCCTACAGAGAACACCTGGCTGGTGCCGCTTATGGACAGTTGGACACTTCTTAGCCAACATCTCCGCACCGCATCAGTATATGCTGACGGTTGTGACAGCAACGCATCTAACCGCTATCTTAAAGTTATGCTAATTTATCCCTATTATTGTCCCATGATTATCCTTGTACTTTCTGAACTTCCCTTTATCACCAATCTTCAATCTTAATAATACAAAACTAAACTAAATATGCTTTGGCAATTTTGTGTAATTGCATAAATTGGGGAAGGCTAAAAGATTATCAAGAATAAAATCTATAATCTTACAAAGTGGTATTTGCTAGAAATATTAACTAATTAACAAGATAAAATTCCATTGAAACTTTATCCCTGAGATAATTCTTTCCACTCTTCGATCCTTTGAACGGGCGGGTTTTTAAGGCTCACTTCTAATCAAACTCAAAATTAACAAGTGGGAATTTAAGTACTCATCAGTATATTGTTGTAATTATCAGTTATCACTACATATTTTTTCTTCTCTGCACATGAGTTTATGCAGCTTTGAAACTGTATACTTTTAATAGAGCTTGAACAAGCCCTATTGCAGGGTGAGGTAAAAAAGAACTTCAACATACTTCCTTTGTAACTAAGAAAAGTCTATTTAGCAGATCACCCCAGTCCCATAATTCTATTTAATTTTTAACCAGTAGTGAAATGGCCTTGGCCAGGGCCTTATCACAGGGAACTTCCTAGACGAAGACTGCCAGATTAGTCAAAAGCCTTCACTATCGGAAAAAGAATTGGAAGAGTTTCTCATAAATGAATGTCTGAATTTGAATTGGAGTCCTAAAATAACAGAAACAACTTATCCAATGAGGCTAATCATTGATAACAAAGGTGACACTTTGCGAAATCAATCTGGCAAAATCAAAGGAAGGATTATTGAACAGGTGCTTAAGACAAAACAACACAAAATTAGTGGGTCTTTATAAGCCTAGAAGGTTTAATATCCTAACCCATAAGAGTAAGCTTTCTTGGATTATTTCCGAAGCAAGAGCACAGTACATAATTTTCCTTAACAACCTCATGTATAATGTGTCCACTACTTAAAGATACTTCAGAAGAAGAGAAAAAAAAAAAAAAAAAAAAAAGAGAGAAAAGTGATTGCATTTGCTTAACACAAGGCAAACAAGAACAGGGCAATTAGCTTAAGGTCAGATACAAGGGGACATAGAAGAACAACACCCTCCTTTCAAACACTAGAAACAGAGAACTGAACATTATTAACGATGGGAACCATCCGAATGGTACGCTTCTATGGTGGGGATGCCAATACCTTGACGATCAACCGGACTAACAATCTCCACCTCCTTTTCCTCACCCTCAGCAAACGGATCATAATAAGGAGAGCTGAATGCCGCTGTTTTAAGATCCCAATACTCCTTTTGTTCTTGCTGGCTCCCTTCAGAAATAATGAACAAGCCACCTTTAGGAGAATCCTGGGTGAATGGTTGTGTTATTGAGCTTGAACTTGATGATCTAGTGGGCGCAACGCCATGTGGGGTTTTTCCACGAGTTTGGTCATGACTTTGATCAACTTGATGATCAGGATTCTGACTCATATTAATTCAAGGAAAGTTAAGATTAATCCCAAGATCTAAGACACTCTAACCCTTTGTTTTGCATTGATGGATGACTAGACAGTAGACAAAAATCTAAGTGGGTAGGAACCTTATAATTTAAATTAGTTATCATAGGAGGAAGGGAACCTTGGATTAGATAAGCATAGATGGGAAAGCCATGTAATTGTTACACGTACTCGCAACAATCCTCTACTACAGAGCCTATAAGTTGCCACATGTTAGATCTTATGTCGGGTATCGTAGGCTTGAAGCTAATGCAGATTCCATAATTGTTTGTAATTTCCCAAAACATGGAGCACACCGTCACAGACTCACAGGCAACAATGTTGGCCATGATGAGCCCTATGGTACTTAAAACTTGAAAGCTAGCTAGTAATTTTTTTTTAAAGACGAGAAAGATCAGACTCCAAAATATACACATATTATAGAGAATGAAATGCACATCCTTAGGCGAAATAAATATGCACCATCAACAGACATGACAAGCATCTCAAAAAACATAGCATCATTAAGGCAGAAATAGCTTTAATAAGGAAAAGTAAAAATGAGGCATTAATCTTTATATCAACGCAGAATCAGCAGTCAGGATAACAATAACTTAAAGAAAATCAACACTTAGCAGATATATGACCGGTGCAATAACTTAATAACTTACGCAGCATTGAGCCTATGAATCAAAAGGCACACTTGTGTCATAATTAATCCTTCTTACTTGCAAGCGTGCATAATTCCAATATGATGTTGCTAAGCGGTTAGTTCACATATCTGGTAATCAAGGATGAACATTTGCCATTTTTGTCCAGCAAGCAGATCTCATCTGCAGCATGTAGCAATAGCACAAGCACACAGCATTAGTTTATCTTGATTTCTTGTTTTTAACTTCTTTTTTTTTTTTTTTTTTTTTTTTTTTAAGAAGGGGGGGGGGGGGGGGGGGGGGGAACAACTGCTAAATGTGAAGAGCACAACATATGAATATAGACTTTGTAAAAACAAACAGGTACAATATATCTTGATAACTCTGCAGTCATCGATGGTCTAATGCAAAATTCCACAAACCATAAAAAGTACTAGAAAGGTTCTTTAAATACAAAATTCATGGTTTGCTGTCTTCTTTTTTCTATTCATTTACTCCATCAATAGGACACCTCAATGTACATATCATGATTTCCATAGCCATCAGTGTCAAAAAGAAAACGCCAGTGAAATTTACCCACATTCGGATAAATTTAAAATATTTCAATACATAGCTGGATTTTATTATGCCAAATTTCATGCTTTCTTTCTATATTTCTGATTTCCATCAATAGGACATCACTTCACAGGGAATAACAAAAACCAATCAAAGGGCAATAGATAACTGGGGATATCTCACCAATTTTAGTCCCAGGAAGTTGAGCTACATCCTTTACAAACCCGCACAAGTCACAAGCACATTTCAACATTGTGGAAAATGTACCCAGAACAGGCAGATGAATCAGCATGCAAACTACATTTCTGTAAAAGGCTTGTGTTTCCAACTCTAAAGAGCAAATCATCTTTATCCACTATCACCTCCATCCTAGCTATCAGGCAGATGATAACTACTCGAGAATCATCTAACCATCATATATCACCAGAAATTTCCACAGGAGCATGATCCATCTCGAAAATGATGAAATCTCAAGTTGTCTCGAACAACAATCTCCCTCCCAGTAATCTTAGAAGCACCACACATAAAAATATGGCAGTCCTCACAAATTCTAAGGTTCTTCATAATCCTAATCGTATGAGCGGAATCAGTAGTCAATAATTCATAAGCTAAAGCTAACTTCTCACTGTGAGTCATTAGTATTTGTCTCTTGTCATCATCACTAACATCATAACTCACTGAATTAAAATTAGGTTGGTATCCATGAAGCTTCAACCTAGTTAGAAGGTCTTCCAACACCTGCTTAATCTCTCTGGATCTTGGATGAGTCAGGTCTCCAGCAAAGAATTCTTGTATATGTCCTTTCAGTCCTTCCACCCAGCTACGGGCAGGAATCTTTTTCAAACCCTTAATTTTCATCATTGTCCTCACTCTTGTAACACTATCCCATCTTCCAGCTGATGAAAGTATATTAGCAAGCAAGACATAATTTCCTATATTATTGGGCTCGAGTTCAAATAAATGGCTAGCAGCAACCTTAGCAATGTCAGGATTGTTATGAATTCTACAAGCTCCGAGTAATGCACCCCACACACCCCCATGAGGATCGAGTGGCATTGATTTGGCAAGGGCAAGGGCCTCTTCCAAATGACCTGATCTTCCAAGAAGATCAACCATACAAGTATAATGATCACCAGTGGGGGTGACGCCATACTTTTCCTCCATGATTCTAAATAATTGGCGACCTTCATCCACCATTCCAGCATGACTACATGCTGTAAGAATCCCAATCAAAGTGATCTTATTCGGTCTTATATCTGTCTTCTCCATCTCATAGAACAATTGCATTGCTTCAGCAGCACGACCATGCACTGCAAACCCCAAAATCATTGAGCTGTAAGTGTACACATTCCTTTCTCTCATCACCTTAAAAATCTCATACGCTCCATCCACTCTCCCACATTTGGCAAACATATCTACCAATGCAGACCCAATAACAACATTTCTATCAGGCCCATGTCCTGATCTTTCAGCTATATCCCTTATACGCGTCAAATAATTAGTCGTACCAAGCTGAGCACACGCGGAGATAACACCAGCCAATGTAAACTCATCTGCTTCAATCCCACAACACTGCATTCTATCAAACATATCCAAAGCATCCTTAGGACGAGCATTCTGCGAATACGAGGTAATCATAGCAGTCCATACCACTGAATCCTTCACATCAAGCTCATCAAACAACCCCATAGCAGCCTCCATCGCTCCCCCCTTAGCATAAGCAACAATCAATGAAGTCCCAGATACAACATCTCTCACAGGAATTTCATCAAACACCTTGTGTGCACATTCCAAAACACCACATTTCACATACAAATCAATCAACGTATTCCCAGCATTCAGAAACAACTCCGACGAAAACCCACCAAACTTAAACATCTGCCCATGTAACTGGCAACCCAAACCCACATCCTCCATTAGAGTAGCAGCCTTAAACAGAGCACAGAAAGTAAAAGAAGTGGGTAAAGCTCCATTCTTCCTCATACAATCATACAAAACTAAAGCTTCTGAAATTGGCCCATTTACAACATACCCACGAATCAAAGCAGTCCAAAGAAAGGAATTTGGATGACGAACCTGGGAGAAAATGGCGCGAGGGTAGCCAGCCATGGGAGAGTTGAATTTGGTGAAAATGCGGATGAGTTTGGTGAGAACATAGCTGCTTTGGTCAAGGCCACAACGGTAGATGCGAGCATGAGCTGCTTTGAGATGGGTGAGATGGGTGCAGGAATTAAGGGTAGAGATTATGCGTGATTCGAACAATTGGTGAATTGGGTTTGGAGGAGGGATGAAAGATGATGATGAAGATGAAGGGTAGTGGTTTTTGCGGAATGTATCGGATGAGAGACGAAATGTAGTCGGAATTCGCATTACATTGTTCTGTATTTTCTGGGTTTACCTGTGCTGTTGTTGTTATTTGCTCAACTCCCTGCCGAAAATGGTTAACGGGAAATGGCGCCTTGAAGCAACTTTGGGTTTTTTTTTTTTTAAAAAAAAAATTAAAATAAAACGAGGCTAATCTCTGTAATACATTAAGAACAACCTAACTTTTCCCTTTGGGGTGATTAAGTGAATAAATCATAAAAAGATGTGACAAAAGGAAGAGAAAGGTCAGGGCTTAATCTTGAAATTTGTTGTTTGATTTATCTTTCGATAATAATGGTTGAAAATCGCAGATTCAAAATGATAGTAATTCTAAGTAGCATATATAAACTTAATAACGTTGTGGATAGATTGAAGTGATTCACCAATGACGTAATGACGTTTGTTGGCTTCAAGGGTTTTTGGTTTGGGCCTTTTACAACTTGGTTCTTGATGGCAAGAAGATAGCACCATTTATGCATTCTCGCAATGTCAATGCTTTTGCAAAGTAGAATACGAGGTAATTTCATATTAGACTTTTAGCCAATGTAATTTACGCCTTTATTAGTCAAGTTTGAATCACAATTAGACAAAATATATTTTAGTACAAAATAGTAGCGGTTAAGCTCGTGCTTTGCCCAAATTACTCGCATCATATGAGATTGTAGAGTGTTATTACTTTATTGACCCTAATAAGAAGATTTTAAATTTGTTCGAATGAGATCTAAGACCCTAAACTAGCTTTACTTGTAAATAGGGGTATTTTTAGTATTTTCATTATAATAAAAGGCCATTAAATTATACAAGTATAAAGTAATTAAATAACATAATAAGTACCAAAAAAGTGTTGGCTCAAAAAGGTTTGGGGTTTGTATCCTACCAAATGAGGATTGGGGTAAGGATTAGTATTTGATCCAAAATAACCGTGAGTGTTGAGATTTGGTTATAACTAGAGCATATAAACACCATTTTAAAAGCATCAAACACTTTTAAATGACAAATTTCTTATATGTGATTAGCCATACGGTGTGTCCAACCATTATGGGGTTACTCAATTAGTGTTACAGGAAGTTACTCAATTAGTGTTACAGGAGTTACTCGGTCTGTGTTATACGAAGTAGCCTTATAAGGGTGAGTTATTCAATTAGTGATATAAGGGTACTTGATCAGCATTATAGGGCTACTTGATGGTCATTAATAAAAATAGTTTCTCAGTTGTGCAAGGTTTTAGATTTCAGGTGAAAAGTCCAGAAAGGTTTTAAATTGGAAGTGCAATACTAGTCAATTGCTCTCTGATTCCTTCACGCCTGAGCCAGAGCCTGAGGTACTAAGCTTATTTTACCAATCTCATTATCACCGTCTCTTCGACATAATCGCTTCCTAATTACTGTACTATCTCTTATCTCTCTTCAATATCTTGTTTCAGTGATTTCATACTTCAATTAAATTGTTATCATGTCAATAAATTCGAATTCAAGAATAATTTTGCACACAAATAATTAAAAAAAAAAATGAACAATAGCTCTCTTCCTGCAATTATATACGTAGTACTTCGTATATATTTTTTGTAGTAAATTGGATTATTAGATTGAATTTAAACCATTTGCCATTCGTTGACAATCGCGTTGACAATCGCAAGGGGTTGAATTTTGAGGGTTTTAAGTTTGATTTCTGTGATTCTTACTACTGATCCTGAGCTTTCGTTTCTTATATTGCTTATGATTTTATAGGGGCAATGTAAATTGTAATAATGTTCACATCTCATATTATTATGGTTATGCTGCTCTAAATTCTTGTTAAGGTGGGTCTATAATCTGTTAACAGATGTTGAGCTCAGGGAATGGCTTTGATTGTATCAACGCGCCTCGATTAATTATGTTGGCCACCCTAGGTATGTGTTCTGAATGTCTATTACTTAATGGGATTTTTGCTGATTTTAGTGTATGTTTGGGTTCCACCCAATTTGCTTATGCTTTTGGCTTGGTTGGTTTTTCTTGCTTAGTGATCAATCACCCTCACCTAATAGTAATCATATAGTTAAATCCTTCTCTGTTCAATGGTAATCTGTTCTTAAAGTGAAGAAGTACTGTTTCATTTTCATTTTTCATTTACAGTCTCTTCTTCTTATTGGTGGATCAGTTGTACTATCATGGGTGGTTGGAGTTGCCTCCGTGGCAGTGCCGAGTTCTAATTGCTACGCTCTTGATAATTCCAGCCACATTGTTGATTTTGTATCCTTCATCTTTTGGTATTACTGATTTGACAGATGATTCTATTGTTAATATATTACAAATTTATCCATACATTGGCTTGCTGTTAAATCCTAGGATGATAGCATGAGTTTGTAGACTTTTTATCATTGCAGGGTGTTTCTTTTGAAATTAATTGATACTGTCAACTGCTTACATTGAAAAATCTAAGTTTGATGATGTTGTGTTGCTACTTCTACTGTATTAGTATATAGTATCAATGATTTCAAGGCTTCACCCTTCATGTCCTCTTTCTAGACCTCACTATTGGGTGAATCCTAACATGATGTTGTCTTGCTGGGAGATTGAGTCCGTAAAGTGGGCCTAGTTTTTGCATTGCAGTGGTGATGATTTATTTTACCGCAATCTCTACTTTTCAGATATTTTCAAACTATTTGTCCTTAATCATTTCTCAGACAAGCTGGAAAGGACATCTCTTTGAGTATGAGGGAAAGGTCTGTTTTTAGTTGCTCATCTCATCTGCGTAATGAACCATGACAAATACTGATTTTCTGTTTGGTGCTTAATGATCTGTCTTTTGTCTTTACCTCCATGCAGGAGTCAGACTTGGTTGTTCGATTTTGCAAAGACGTGGAGAGCAGATCACAAACAGTAATCTACTGAGCTATAAGATTTATCTTTACTAAAAAACTTTGTGCCACTTCAGTTCAGTGTCATCTTCATTCCTATAACTTTTGGATTATTAATTTAAATTAAACTACATTAAAAATGTAAATACGGGAACAGACTTAATGGAATTGGTCCAAACAAATGTCTCATTATGTGACTTAAGATGATGTAGATTTCTGTAGATTCATACCGTGCTGTGTAATTTGTAAGCATATCAGCATATGCCTCAGTGGCTGCTTTGTCTTTATTACTTAAATACAATACATGGCTGCAGATCAATCACTTTCCACAATTTGTACTAACCTCCCCACCCCCTCTTCCTTTTTGTTTGCAGGGATATGTTGATTTTGGCCGCTTTGATACATATAACCATTTTGTTGCTGGCTCTGGACGTGTCAACTTTGTTCAAGTAATTCTTGACTTCTTGGGCTCTGCATTTTTTTATTATCCTGTTTAATTGGAGAAAAGATCAATCTTAAAATGCGTAAATAATAATGAACTTTTGTTGAGAAACATGTATCTGATATTATCATAGGAGATATTCATTTTGTCAATTTACTGATTACTTCAATCAAGAATTCTCAATTTTCGGTTTAACACATTCTCTACGTTTTAGCTGTATTATAATTATTATCTTTGCCGATTGGAATAAGTTTTCAAGAAAAATTCTGTCTGGTCAGCTTCCCAATAATTGTTTTGAGCAGATCATCAGAAAAACAGGTGCTTAATTTTATCCTTTTTTAGCACTAGGTCTAGCTGGGATTTTTATTAAAGGCAATAACTGAAGAGAATAGAAAGCGGCAGAAAGAGAAAGAACTACAGTTGCCTGAGCCAAGGAGCAAAGCATAGGTGCTGCACAAGGCATGAGCAAAAATACCTCATACTTAAAAAACACCAATATATGGCCATAGAAGGTAGCATTTTGACTCATCTTAGGGCCATTTTCAGTTAGGCAATGCATGAGCATGAGCCTAGGAAGGTAAGACCCTGCAAGACCAAGGTATGCGACCTAAGACATGATTTCAAGGGGTGCTAACTCATGGGTCAAGCCATGAATTAGATGGTTCCTGTCACTAAATAGGCCTTGGGAAGAATGGGTAACCCTTGATGCCTAATTTTTCCTGTTGATCAAATGTTCTCCAAAGGCTAAATTAAAGGCTATAATCCTAATGGTGGGGGATGCTATTCAGGGTCATAAAAGGTTGTTTGGAACCATATCTGCTCACTAGTCCATATAATAACTTAGGATGACCTTGAGTCAACGATGAAAGGTGTGTCTGTGATTGGCTAATAGTTAAGAGGCAAAGTAAATAGTCTCCAACCACCTAAGTGGCATCCCGAGGTCTCATGGGGTCTATGAGAAACACCTTGTCCTCTATCCTTGATGGGTCAGTGAAAGTCTAAAATTCTCCAAAACTGAAGGCTATAATACACGATTTTAAATCAATTTTGGAAAAGTTTTCAAAATTGAAGTGGATGTAAGGAGTGTATCCTGAGCTCATTAAAGTTGATTTGGAAGCATAACATGTATACCAACAGGTCTCTAAAGTCCACTAGAAATTAAATTTAAGATTGAATATTAATTTTCTCCCGACAGAGTGACAGGTTGGCAACTCTTTTGGATCAAAAATAGAATACAACTAAAGTTTCCTTGTATAAGTGGGGTGGGACTGAAAGTGCAGCTAAATATAAGCAAGCCTTAATTTAAAATCTTATGGTGCATGTATTCTTCTTTTGTCTTACGAGTGATTCTAATGCACTCTTAAGTTGTTCCATTTTGGAGTTTTTTGGTTTCATACCTTCCTTTGCTGTCGGTCAGATTGTTGGTTTCATTAACCCTGATAATTGCTTCATTGGCTTTGAATGTTCATCACTCTGACTGGCCAAGGTGAATATACATGGACATTTTATGGTGAATGGACATGATGACACTAGTATTAGCATAGTATCGGTTATGTTATGTGGCACCTTAATGATGTGACCCTCCCCAAAGGAAGTTCATTTAGTTCTTTCTATTTTTCCCCGTCTGGTTTTGGGGTAGGGTGGGGCCGTGGGGGTGAGGTTGCTCTTCTATGACCAGAGATAAAAAAAATTGGCAGTATGGAATTGTTCGTTTAAGTTTACTGTCAATTTTTATCACCGTAGAGGGATGGGTTGCTACGTTGCTTCCATTCAGTTATTGTCTGACAGTTCTAATCTCCCAAAGTCCCCCCTCTTCCTGTATGCCTTCTCATATGAATTACTTGTTTCAATTTTTTGAAAATCGTCCAGGGATTCTATGAGGGTGATCTCATGAATTGTGAGCAAAGTTATAACAAATTGGGGCGCACGGCTCAGGTTAGCCATTCAGGCATACACCCCTAAGTGGGCGTATAACTTTGTTTGTGTCTCTTGATATTTATTCTTGTTATTGTTTGTTACATTTTCTTCTATTCTCTTTAGGTAAATATCATATGTGGAAGTTGTTTGAGCAGACAATGTAAAGGTTATAAACTGGATGTATATGTACCATACTTTGATTTGTTATTTTATCTTTGAGGCTCTGATTCACAGTTGACAACATTTTCTGTATTATCATCACATCTCAGGTGAACTTGGATGTATATGCAGTGTTACATATGAATCATCTTGCAGGTAATGCTACATAATTTTATTTATTTATTTTTTTTTTTTTTTTTTGGTTTTGTTTTTAATCGTCTTTGCAATCTAGCACATTTTTGGTCCTCCAGAAAAGATCAACAAGATGTCTTCTTGGCCTTATTTTGTCATAATGCATGTCATATAATGCTTGCCATCATGCCATGGGGAATTTTCAGCTTTAAAAGACATTTAGGAATATCAGGACATTGAGATGTGTTTTCAATATGGATGTGTGGGAACACTGAATGGGTCAAAATTGGGAATGGACATATTTGGAAGAAAGTTGGAGTATTGGAGGATAATATAAATAAGAACTAATTGTGTCAGTTTAGGCATGTGAGTCAGAGACTAGAAGATGCACCAGTCAGGACTCAGGATCATAGGGATCTTAACAGAAGCCAAGGAGGCCACAATTGATTTTGATGTAGGGATATAGGTGCGATATGAAGAAATTGGGCTTACATGAGCACTCAAAATGGCACGTTGCACTTGACATAATGGCATGTTGCACTCGACACCTGACAGAATGGCATTGACGGAGAGGGTCTTGGTAGATGACTATTGGAAATAAAATATTGGTTTATGTGGCCGACTCCAATCACTGGAATTAAGGAAAAGAATATCATATTGTCTACAGCAATCTTGGGAGAGGGTCTTGGTAGGTGACAATGTCTACTGTTTGGTCTTTGTGGTAATATAGCTCTCCTAGTGTCGGCTCTAGATCTATGCCATCATGAACAATAATGCTCCTTTGGTTTTCTTTTGATTTACCATTTATCTTAGACTCTTGTTCTAGGAGGATTGAGTGGGTATAAGAATAAGATGGATAAAGGGTAAGATAGTAAATTGTGTTGACTCATATAGAAAAGAAAAGAAAAAAAAAAAAAAAAAAAGAAAGAAACAAAATAGAGTAAAAGTGGGTGCATCAGATGACACACCTGAAAAATGGAAAGTGGGTACATCATAAAAGAGGAGTATTTCATCATATTTGTAGAATCTATTTACATTAGGGTTTGTTTGGTTCATTTTATTTTAACTTAGTTTATATTAAGCTCAGATAATTTAAATACTATATTGATTTTCTCTGATATATACTCAATTTTTATTCCTTTTATCAGTTCATCCTGACATTCTTAATAAATTGTCAAATTCTTGCAGTAAGTATTATAATAAATGTCTTTATTTGTTTTCTGGTTGTCCACCAATCATATTCTTGTCAACTCAAGAAGTTATTATACTACTTTACCCTGCATTTCTTTCATTGTTGGTACCATATCTTAAAATCCAACCTATGCTTAATGCGTTTTCATACCTAATGCTAGAAATTGGTTACAATTTGTAGAGCCATAGAGGGGTAAAACTGAACTTTTCTGATTATATGTATACTGGTTGCAATTTGCAAGAGTTATTGTGGAACTTGCTATTCCTTGTGAGAAACGTGGTCCACGGGTTTTTGAAGGATTCACTATTGGGTTTCATCCACGGTCATGGGAAATTGTAAGAAACTTGCTATATTTTTGCAAATTCAAATACCCTTTCCCATAACTGATCTGATTGATGAATACTCTGGAATGTCAGGTCTACAATGGCATGACCCAACCTGGTTTTGAGAAGTCTCACAATGAATACCGGTAAGGTCTCTTATGAGAAATATGATGCAACTTGCACTTACTGATGATTCTATATTTTAGTTGTAATGCTTTAGGCTCTTCCCAGATTAATGATGCTATTTTGGGTTGCCTAAGGCTCTCTTTTTACTACTGCACGAGACTGATACTTTTGATTTGTTTGTCTTGCAGCTTTAGTACTGAACAGATTCGTGTTACCCTTCATATGACTGCAGTTGCATCTCTCTCAAATTTGGTGCAAAAACCAACTGTAAAGGTGATTTTGTCCCCCTTATTATACTGAGACTTGTGCGACACTGCTACCAATCAACAAGAGCTTCCCTAATGGTCAAAGAAACAAATTCAAGAATATTGATTGCTGATGTAGTGCATTCTCTCATATCATCAGGTACTCCCACGGACTGGCCTAGAAGTTCATCTATCTGGCTCTGGTGCTTCTGGAACTCCCCCAACAACTTTGTCACCAACTGTTTTGACTGTAGATTGGACATGTATGGCTGCAGTTTACGCATTGTATGTATTGAGGGAAAGTGGTGTCTAAACATTTAAATTACTACAGGTAAAAAGGTACACACTACTCCTTACGAAGTGGAAATCACTATTCCTGTGGAGAATTATGATCCAGTCAAGTTCACACTTACAAAAATGTGCGGTAAGATTATCTGTTCAATTGTGTTAATGAAATTGAAGGAGCAAGCTATAGTTCCTTTGACATGAAAAACTTTGTTCAATTTTGAAATTTTGCAGATCATAAACAAGATGATGGGAAAGAGACAATGAAAGGATGGGCTATATTTGGAATCTTATCTTGCATGTATGCAATCTATGTTTCTATTTTTGCTAGCTTTTTCATTTTGATGGTTGTTGTCTTGAGATACTGTAAGTACTTAGCAAATTTGTATTATGATTGACTACAAGGTCAGCATATCCCCTTCCTCATCTTAATAGAAGATATATCATCAAAGCATAGCATATGCATTATCACTTGCTCTGTGCAATGTTAACTCATGTCAGCATGATATTATAATGTACAAGCATTATTTCATGTGCAAAAATGTTTTTCTCCTGTCCGTTGAAAATTATGCGGCCTGAGCTAATTAAAATTCCGGGACATATTATCCAAGAATTTAGAAAATATTGTGCAAGATTTCGAGGTTTCTATCCTGTCACATGCATAAAGCTATACCTCCTTTTTGGTTTCATGTTTTTTTCTATTTGACCTTTGTTCCCTCTGGGCTTTCTTGAGCAGATTCTTCGTTTCACTTACCCTGTTCTGCTGTGGTGGATTTATTTATAAATCAGGGGCACAAAACCAGGTATGATCTTGTGTGGTGTGTCCTGTAAGCCGAACTTTGAGTATTCAACCTCTCATATTGCGTTAAAGTCTGCACCATCCTAATTATGAATACTTCTTGCAGCATGGGCTTGATGCATTGCCAGGGATGACCTATTTATCAGCATTCTTACAAACTGTAAGTTCTGAGCGTCCATACTCCCAATTTCTTTCTTTAATTATAGTAGACAGAGGGTGGGTGGGACTAAGATGTTATGCATGCTGGCCCACAATTACTTCCTGAATATAGGTGGGCACCTTGAGCAGTGTGGTCATTTGTTTCAGTGTCAAGTATAGGTGCATGTCCTAGGATCAGAGTTGGCTTTGTCTTTCAAGTTTTATGAATTTTGCTTGGTTTAAGGTGTTTAGTGCCGCACTGTTGTCTATCTTATTGTAGCACGAGGAGATTATTCAAAATGGCTATTTGATTGCTAAATTGGACATGCCAATGATCCTTTTGCCACAGAATTGTCTGCTTCGCATATACAGTACATAATATTTTTGATTTCTAATTTTCTATTATATACTGACTTTGACTGAGACATATTTTTGTCATTGTGTTTCCTTTTTGTTTATTTGTGCTGATAGGTGTCCGGAGGAGGTCAGGGCTACCAAAGAGCAGAAGAGAGTAACAATCCCTTCATCCCTGCTGCTCAAGGAGCTGGAAGGACTGAGGTCAGATATGGTTCCATTTAAATGTACATACTCTCAAGTCCAAAGCAAAGCAAACATGATAACAAGGATCTGTTTTGTTGAGGTACTAGCTACACAGACAACCTTCTTCTTTCACCCCCACCCTCCTACCTACCCCCAGAAAAACACCTTCGGGTTTAAAAAAAGGAAAAGAAAAAGAATTTTAAAGGACACTTGCAGGTTTCAGTGTCAGCTTAGCACATTTGAATTTCAGTCACGAGCCATTGAAAATGACGATTACTGCATGCAACTGCTGCTTAAATGCTGAAAATTGACTTTCTACTGCATTGGCAAAAGTTTTCTTTGATCTGTTTTTGCTTCTTTATGGTTACGGCCCTTGCGGGTGCTATATTTTACGATCATTGGTTCAGAGAATGAATTACAGTAAACAGCGTTTATTTGGTTATGACATGTAGTGTTTATCACTGGGCTACTGACTTCTAACAACTTTTTCATTTAGTTATAAGAGCAAACCACATGAAGTTATTTGATTTGTTTATATTTTCTCTCTTCCCTTCAAGCTCTTTCTGAAGACTTGTTCTTGATTAAGATGAAAAACAAAGTTAAGACATGGTAAAGATAGGATTCGAAACAAAAGGGAGACCGGCAACTCAAAATGCAAACTTCTGGGTGTCTTAAAACCTATAATGTATTAATGTATCCTGAAATTTTGCATATATATGAAGTCCTTGCGTCCAAATTTATAAGCCCCAGGTTATCAGACAATTTGAATTAGTTTCAAGATGGAAGTTAACCCTGGTGACTATAGATATGAAGCCACATTTTACTTGTAATTCTGCTATCCGCTCTTGTTTTATGTGTTTGTTTATATACGTTCTTCATTGATCATTGATGCATATAATTTGGCACTCCTTGGTAAACAACGGCGCCTCATTTTATTAGACCTTATCTAGGAGCTGCTGAATGTTATCTAGGAGCAGGTCTGCTGACCTTAATTGTGTTTTGCCCTTTAAACAATAATTGGGAAGAAAAAATTAACCTAATATTCCATCTACTTTCCATCTGTAATTATTTAATGTGAAATGATAAATCGACAAACCTTTTCTATCAATCAATCGTTGAAAAATGTTCAATCATCATCTGTTTATCACATGCAAATAATTTTTTTTCCTATCGCGAAGCATCATTGTTGTAAACTTTTTAAGGTACATACTATATTGCTCTAAAATAATAGGCCATAGTTTATCTTACTGGTCAAAACATACAAACTATGATCATGAAATCGTACTATTTATGAAGTTATGAGCATAATATCATTTGTCGTGATTTTTAGACACGTAAAGGATCATGAACTTGTTGCAAATAATAAAGCAGCTCAAATCATCGCATATCATGTTTCACTTTATGTCCAATTATTCGACAGACTATCTATTCCTTTCATTTCAATTGTACAGCAACACGAGTAGTTAACGCAATTAAAAATAGCATCAATCATGCTATAAGAAAAGCTTAAAAAATTAAATGATAAATAAGTTTGACCAATTCTTTTGCTTGTGGTATCATTTTTTTTTTTAAAATCTTTATTTTCTTTGTAAGGGGAAATGGGGTCTAGAGGTGTTAATACCGTTAATTGTACACGGTACACCACACGGGGCGGTGGCCGGTGGCCAGTCTTCAAGTCTCCTGCTAATGAATTGGCTTTTGGCATTAAAACTAAGTAACTAACTACTCCCTTCTAACTTCACCATTGCCTTGCATCACTTTGCTTTATAAAGATAAAGTTAATTATTATGGAGACATTTACCATACATGCTTTTCGTTTTGACCTTATTTCTTTATAAAGTCCAAGCCTATCTTAATTGTTGTTTATTGATAGATTGTGGGCCTTAGATATTTACTTTTACTCCGTTTCATAAATCGCAATAGTAGTGTGGATATAAAGTTTTAGAAAAATGATAGGGTGTTGAACTGGGGACCAAAGAAGAAATTTTAGATATACAGTATTTACTATAATTGTTTTTTTTTCGTGAAAGAAAAATGAATTTATTAATACAAGTAAAAGATATTCAAACGACACTTACAAATAATTCCAAAGAAATCTAAATAATTTCACAACATAACACCTTAGAACCAATAATAATAATAATTGTTAGTATGAGTGAGAAATAATAATACGAAGTAATTAAAAAAAAAAAAATTAGTGTAAGTGGAGTTGATAGGAGAGAAAATATAAAATATTAGTGACCTTTGCAACAAAATAAAAAGCAATTATTAAGAAATGGATGAAAAAATTGTTTCTATTATTATGAAATAGAAGGAGTATTTTTTTTTTTTTTTCGTTCGAAGAGCTTTGGTCTAGTTCACAAGGTCAATTCAGCAATTTGTTGTTATACTTTGTTCAATCTTCATGTCTATTTGTCTAAAATCTACATCGCGTATACATCATACTATATATGAAGAGTTATTCCATGTTGAATGATGTAATTCCAAAGAAGATTTTATTTCCAGTTTTCATTTTTATCTTTTTTTAACATTGACTGTAACTAAACCAACACTAGGTGGTTTTTTTATGCTTAAAATAATCTAAAATTACTTGTCCATTAACCAGTCTAACAAGGCAAGCCCAAATAATCAATATTGATGCAACCTCTAACCTACCATATTTTTTACTTATAAGATAGACACCATTTTACATTTTCATAATTTTTTGAGAAAAATACCCTTTTTTTTTCTTTTTTTTTTCTTTTTTTTTTTTTTTTTTTTTGTCATGCCCTATTCTCACTTATTTGGGAGAAAACAAGTTTATACAAGTTAAATTAAAAATAGAAAGTTTAGATAAAATAAGTTTAAAATTGATAAGTTTAGATAAGTTAAAGTCACTATAGGTGTGAAAACCTTTCATAACTATTTTTTCCACTTCAAAGGGCAATGGAGACTTATATTCTATTTTGTTCAAAGACTTATACTTCAAACTGTGATATGAAGTTTTAAGAAAAACTATAATTTGATAACTGTTTTCATTTGTAGACATTGTAGTAACTCATCCAATGGAGGCCTTCATCTAACCTTATTTTCTCTTCTTGAGCCCCTATGTGAACTCCCTATTGAAGATGCTCTAAGAAGCTGTTAACCGATTAGGATCGTTGAAAATAGACAGTATGCGAATGTTAACTGACGTACAATTAGAAAAAATAAAATTGTGTTTTAAAAAATTCATCAGAAAATTAATGGTAAACAAGCTGCAGGGATTATGTACAACAATAAGGAGTAGATAAAACCATCACAATAGCACAAGGTCAAAAAATTGCTTTTTTTTCTGTTATCTTTTGGGCTAGGAACTTTGTACAATAGTAACTTATTGCTTGACACTTACATCTTGGAGAGTTGGAGGGCCAATAATTTGATTTGAGCAGTTAGAACCTTAATAAGAATCTATCTTGTTGACCAACTCCACCTCTTCTGTTATCCTCCATCTTTTTCGTTGACTTCATAATAGTTTTCTTCTATAAATACTTAACAAACCTATCTCATCATTCCACAAGTCCACAACAGTTAAGCATTAACAGTAATCCAGCTTATTATTAGTGCTGAAAACACTGGTGTACCTTTAAACACAAACAAATTAAACATGGTTAAGTCCATGGGTTACTTTGTTTTTGTTGTTCTCCTGACACTTGCCCCTATCTGCTTCTCTCATAAACCACAAGTGGGGTACCTCTTCCCTCAGTTCTACGACCACTCGTGCCCTCAACTGCAACAGATAGTCAAGTCCATTGTTGCTCAGGCGGTTGCCAGGGATCGCAGAATGGCTGCTTCCTTGCTTAGGCTTCATTTCCATGATTGCTTCGTTAAGGTATGTATTTGCTAAAAATACGAAGTATATAACTTAATATTCATCTCATTGGAATTTGTATCGAATTTGTATCAGTTTCTAATCTAAACCTATACTAATAATAAGTTATCTATTTTTTGTAAAATTTTGCAGGGATGTGATGCCTCACTGCTGCTAGACAGCGGTGAAGGCATAGTCTCAGAGAAGGAGTCAAAGCCTAATAAAAACTCTATTCGAGGGTTTGAGGTCATTGATGAGATCAAGGCTGCAGTAGAGAAAGCATGTCCCCATACTGTCTCTTGTGCTGATATCCTTACAATAGTTGCCAGAGATTCAAGTGTTATTGTAAGCATGTTTTCATAATATAATAGTATAATACTATAGTAGAATGCAGTTGTACATAATTAATCATAGAAGGCAGAACACTTGACAAAAGTATACTAAAATTACTAACATAATTACACTGCAGGCTGGCGGACCAAGCTGGGAAGTTCCCCTGGGAAGAAGGGATTCCAGAGGAGCAAGTATACAGGGATCTAACAACGACATTCCTGCTCCTAACAACACATTTAACACCATTCTTACCAAGTTTAAACGCCAAGGCCTTAACCTTGTTGACCTTGTTGCTCTCTCAGGTCTGTTTCAATCACCATATATTGTTTTTATATATATTGACCTTGCTATTCCATCTAGTAGGATTGTTCTTCTTACCACTATAATTTTTTTCTAAAAAATATTATCCTGGTCAGGCATTCCCTTTTCTCTGACAAGAAGAAAACCTAGTACTAACAATTATCTGTTCATTTCTATTGGCTGATTTCTGCTCTATGACTATGGCCCACCATTTTTTTCTAACAAAATTAAAAACATTTACTGGGTTGATGACATACATGTACACAAAAATTGTAAGATTACAAGGAGCATTCTCTCTAGCTACTCGTTTAAACTGGATAAGGATTAGATTGAATTTAATTAGACTGCCCTGAGATTCATCTACCCTCATAACGGCAGTGTTCTGTTTTTTAGTTATGTATTTTTGGGTTGAGAATGACAAGCAGAAGTGTTGGTGCAGGTGCTCACACAATAGGTAATGCAAGATGCGTCAGCTTCAGGCAAAGGCTCTACAACCAGAATGGAAATGGGCAGCCTGACTTCACACTTGACCCAGCATATGCTTCTAAATTGCGAAATCAATGCCCGCGGTCTGGTGGTGACCAAAACTTGTTCTTCTTAGATTATGTATCCCCCTTCAATTTTGATAACAGCTACTACAAGAACATATTGGCTAACAATGGGCTGTTGAACTCGGACCAAATTTTGTTAACCAAGAATCAAGAATCAATGCAACTAGTGAAACAATATGCCGAGAACATGGAGCTTTTCTTTGATCATTTTGCCAAGTCCATGATAAATATGGGTAACATCACCCCATTGACAGGCCCAAAAGGAGAGATCAGGCAGAACTGCAGACGGATAAATTCATATTAAGATCCTCTATACTTCTCTGTATTTACTCTTATTGGTGTCTCAGTTGATATATGGTGTAATATATTTTGCAATTTCAATTGTTTTCCATATTCAATATATGTGTCAATGTGTGTTTGAAGCGGAGTAATTGCTGCCTGCAGCAAGCTCTGTGATAAATTGTATACAGTCTTTTTCGGTTGAAATAAATTATTGCTAATCTCATGACTTGATCTTTCATATGTTATTTTCTACTCAATAGTCAATACAATGCTTAATCCCTTTTTTCTTATTATTATTAATATCATTTTATTTTTTTTTAGGGTTTTTCCAAGCTATGCCCCTGTGGTTATTGAGTTTCTAAGGTTTGCCCATACTTTTTCAAATTTACAAGATGTACCCTCCAACTTAAGGTGTTTATTCAACCGTACCCTATAACGTTAATCCAAAGTTAGTAGTTGTGTTAACGGTTTATTACCACACTTTGGAGAGAAATTTCACGCCCAAATTGGGTTAGAGTTATATAAGTAGGTTAACATTTAGCATTTTTTCCAAATTTTCTCATCTATTTTTTCTTCTTTCTTCTAAAAGCAACCATTGATATGTCAAGCTCTCGGTGTATTTCTTATTCTTTTTTCTCATCCGCTTCTTATTACTTCCTATTTAATTACAATTGTTAACGTCGAGTTTACAGTAGAGGGTACGGTTGATTAAACAAATTAAGTTGGAGGGCATAACTTGTAATTTTGAAAAAGCATGGACACACCCTAGAAACTCAACAACCTTGAGGGCATAGCTTAGAAAAACTTTTTTTTTTTTTTTTATATTGATGTACTTAAAAATAAAAAAATAATAATAAAAAAAAATAAAAAAAATAAAATAAAATAAAAAAACTTTCTTCTATTAAAGTTTCACACAATAATGGTAGACTATTGTTTTCTCCAAAGAAAAAAAAAAAAAAAAAAAACATACACAGAGTAAAATACGAAGTATTTTTAAAACATATACGAAAAAATAAAACAATGTAATATTTGAAACATACTCACTCCATTCCAAGTTTAAGTTTACATGAACAAATGCAAGAAGTACTTGCTGTAAGAGAAAGTAAACTTCATATTGTTACAGCAAAATAACATTTCATCAATTATTGTTTGTGCCCTGAGATGTATTATTTGCATTGAGATATACTCCCCCTATCTCATATTACTTACTCCCTCCGTCCCATAATACTTGAGACGTTGGGGTGGACACGTAATTTAAGAAAATTACAAGTGGGTCCATTTAAAACATTTGTTTATTATATAAAAGATTATCTTTTGTATTTTTACATTGTAAGAAACCAAAAAGTGGGGATGGTGGGGTAGCGAGGCGAGAGAAATTGTAGGATTTAATTGGTTTTGGGGTTTGTGGTCTCAAAAAGAGTATTTTTTTATTAGTGGTCCCATTTCATATTTAGTAACGTGTCAAGTATTGTGGGACGAACAAAAATGGAAACTGTGTTAAGCATTATGGGACAAAGAGAGTACATTATTTCGGTTGAATACATTTGGCAATATTCAATATACAACTGTGACCACTGACTAGGTAGTAAAAATTATAAAAAGTTTATATTTTGACTTTATACCTTTAATTAGATCAACTCATCATCTTTCATTATTCTAATCTCATATAGACATCAACGTCTTTCATTCTTAAAAGTAGGGTGACTTTATTGTTTAATTTAGGTTTCACTTGTAATTTTCATGGGTTCTTCAGTGCCTAATGATTTTACATTACAATTTAACTAAAAAACCCCTTCCTTCTCCTTCCCTTTTATCTCCTCCTTATCTTCCATGAATGTTACCAAATGCGATATATAAAATGTCTTGCAAATATTGTCGACGAAGCAAAGGTTAGTAAATTTGATCAATAATATAATTCTCAAACTCGGCCCCTTCCTATGGTTTTTTGGTGGTAGGGGAATGGGTCTCGGGGTGTTAATTATACACCACGCGGAGCCTCAACTAATAAAATTGTCTTTATTATTCGTCAAAAGAAAAAAAATAAAAAAATTGTCTGTGTTAAGTTTTTAATTGTAACACTATTTAATGAATTTTCAAACAATAATACTCCCTCTGTCTCATAATACTTGGGACGTTGGGGTGGACACGTAGTTTAAAAAAACTACAAGTGTGTCCATTTAAAACATTTGTTCATTGTATAAAAAATTCATTTTTGTATTTTTATATTGTAAGAAATCAATAAGTGGGGTGGGAGTGGGATAGGTGAGGAGAGAGAAAATATAGGAAAATATATTTTTTTATTAGTAATCTCATTCCATATTTAGTAACGTGTCAAGTATTTTGAGACGGGCGAAAATGGGAACTGTGTTAATTATTATAGGACGGAAGGAGTATATGTTTTTGCATTAAGTTGAAGTTTAGTAGGAATTTGACTTTATTTTAACATATCTTCATATTGATTGGTCAAAAGAGCAGTTTGAAGCTTATTTTTTTTTTTTTTATTGATTGTCCTCATCGTTTATATATGAATCTTTCGTACTTTGATAGATTATTTATCCATGTTGATGCAACTCCGAAGAAGAGTACAATTTCAGTTTCCATATTCTATGATGTTAATTTTGACTGGCATAATATTATACGAGTATATTTGTACAGATTACAAAATTATGATTATGCTTTATGTACAATTCTCAATAAAACCACTACAAACATGCCAACTCCAAATTAACATTGTTTAAAGAACACCAACTCCTAACCCTCGGCTATGGTAGATACTCGGTTCCTTCAGCTACATACTTGTGTTCATATCCGTTATGTACATGTACTTGTATCAAACATGCGTGTAAAAATCTAAAATAATAATATAAAATACAAACAAACCAACCTTAACTCCTTAAGTGTACCTATGTGTTTCCTTGCTTAATACTTGTAGCATTTCCTCCGTTCACTTTTTCTATTTAGTCAAAATGTACAACTAAAAGTGAGCGGCCGTTATATCCCGAGATGCATTTTTTTTTTAATAATTCGGAGAGTTTTTAACATCGAGTCTTCAAACCTCCAAAATTGGTTTCATTAAGTGTACTTCTTTTATTTTTGACAATTTTTTTTTTACTTTTTTGAACTTGGAAAAAAACAAATCGGGGCTCTTTCCATGGATTCCACGATACCCTAGGAGGTCGTTTGGGTGATTTGAACAATTTATTTTGCCTTTAAAATGTTACTTTAGTTGTTTATGTACATGCCTCCTATAATTAACTCAAAGTTGCCACATGAGCATTTATGTGACTGACTAGCGGTCATATAAGGTCCCAAACAGCGCTATATAACCCTGAGATGCATCCCCTGCCCTCTCATGAGCTTTCAACTCCGAGTCTCGAAACCTCCGAAATTGGTCAAAAACTGTGAATTATAGCCTTTACTTTTGGATTTTTTTAAACTTTTCCGTACTCGGATAGAAACAAGTTGGGGTGCTTCCTATAAACCTCACGACACCGGAGAAGGCCATTTGGGTGGTTGGAACATCCATTTTGCCTTAAAACTATCACTTTAACCGTTTACATACATGTCTCCTTTAATTAACTCAAAGTTGCCAAATGGGCTTTATGTAACTGATTAGTGGTCATATATGGTTCCAAACAACATTATATAGTATCTCCTACCTTCTCGACAATTTTTGACACCGGGTTTCGAAACCTCCGAAATTGGTCCAAAAGTGTGGATTATAGCCTTTATTCAGGGACAATTTTTTGACTTTTTTGGACTTGAAAAGGAAACAAGTTGGAGTGTTTTTCATGGACCTCAGGACACCTCGGGAGGCCATTTGGGTGGTTAAATCCTTCCACTTTGCCTATAAAAGTCAATTAAACTGTTATGTACGTAGTATATACCTCCTTTGATCAATGACTTGAGGCCACCACGGGGTTATATGTGATGATTAATGGCCATATATGATCCCAAACAACATTTTTTAATTATTTCTTTATGATATGATATACTTGTATTATAATTCGATGTAAAATGTTACAAATGTGTAAGGAGTGACTGATAGTCCGGTCAATTACAAACTAAGGGCAAGGTTGATTCAATTTGTCGTCCGAAATTCTATTTCTTAGAGCTTAGTTAAATTTATATTTATTTCAAATGTAAATCCATAGCAATGTTCCAAATAAACTTGTACCTTTCCCAAGAAACCATAGTGTAAACAAACTTTAGGAATTATGTAGAGTACTCGTATAAATTTACGTACTGAGATAGTGTGTATATCATATTGCTACCTTTCTGTCTTTCATTTGAGCTTTCATCTTGGAGACTTGGAGTGCTGATAGTTCTTTGAGCAGTTAGAAACTTAGAGAGGAATATATTGTTGACCAACTCCACCTCACCAATTTTGTCTATCGTTTTCTTTGACTTCGTAATAGACTTATCCTATATAAACCCTACAAACACATCTAATTAAGCATACCATAACACAAAATCATTCATATTTATCAAGTTTATTAGTGCTGAAAACACAAGCATACTGTCAGAAAAGCCAAAACAAACATGGATAAGTCCATGATGAGCTACTTCATTGTTCTTGCTCTATTAGCACTTGCCCCTTTATGCTTCTCTCATAAATTCCAAGGTGGTTATCTCTACCCTCAGTTCTATGACCGCTCGTGTCCACAAGTGGAGCAGATAGTCAAGTCTGTCGTTGCTCAGGCGGTTGCCAGGGATCGTCGAATGGCTGCTTCCTTGCTTAGGCTCCACTTTCATGACTGTTTTGTTAAGGTATTTGAGTTAATTGTACAAGTATAATATAATGCTCATTTTATAGGAGTTTAATCGTTTTGAAGTCTAAACCAATGCTGATTTATTTTGTAAAATATTTTAGGGATGTGATGCCTCATTGCTGCTAGAGAGCAATGGAAACATAATCTCAGAGAAGGGGTCCAACACTAACAGGAACTCAGCTCGCGGGTTTGAGGTCATTGATGAGATCAAAGCCGCAGTAGAGCAAGCATGCCCCCACACTGTCTCTTGTGCTGATATACTTGCTTTAGCTGCCAGAGATTCAACTGTTATTGTAAGCATCAGTTTACGTAGTACAAGGCTAATTTTTAAGCATGCAGATAGATGCTGTTGTACATATTGTTTAATTATATTACTTATATAATGCTAAAGTGCTAATAATACTGCAGGCTGGTGGACCAAATTGGCAAGTACCACTAGGAAGAAGGGATGCTAGAGGAGCAAGTTTGAGTGGATCAAACAATGACATTCCTGCTCCTAACAACACCTTTAACACCATTCTTACCAAGTTCAAACGCCAAGGCCTCGATCTTGTTGACCTTGTTACCCTCTCAGGTTTGTTACAATCACCAACATTCGCGTCTCACTACCTTTCATGTCGATGGATATGCTCTTTTTATTAATAAAAAGATGTGTTAAAACTTAACAAAAGAAATGTATTATATTGGTGCAGGTGCTCACACAATAGGTAATGCAAGGTGTGTTAGCTTCAGGCAAAGGCTCTACAACCTGAATGGAAATGGAAAGCCTGACTTCACACTAGACCGAGCATATGCGTATGAGTTGCGCAACCAGTGCCCGCAGTCTGGTGGTGACCAAAACTTATTCTTCTTGGACTATGCAACTCCCTTCAACTTTGATAACAGTTACTACAAGAACATATTGGCTTACAAGGGACTGTTGAACTCTGACCAAGTTTTGTTAACCAAGAATCAAGAATCGATGCAACTAGTAAAGCAATATGCAGAAAATATGGAGCTATTCTTCGATCATTTTGCAAAGTCCATGGTTAAGATGGGTAACATTTCCCCATTGACAGGACCGAAAGGAGAGATTAGGCAGTACTGCAGAAGTATTAATAACTACTAAGATCCTCTGTTTTCCCCTGTTTTGTTGCTTTAGTTGAAAATTTGATGTAGTTTATTTTGTTATTCTCTTTGTTCTAAATTTTTTTTAAGTGTTTGTGTTTAAAGCGGAGTAGTTGTTGCTTGTGACAAGCTCGCAGATAAATTTGTATATCATATCAGTCTTTCGAGAGGAAATAAATTAAATTTGTTTTCAGCTAAAGTTGTGTTCAAACCAAATGGCTTTTTCAAGTGGAGTTTGCATTGTAAGGCCCTTTTTTCAACGTATTACAAAATTGTAAAGTAAGATAATTAAAGTTTAGTTAAAATAATTTTAGTTTAGTGATTCAGCAAAAATAAGCAATTAAAAAAACACTTTAATTGGTTAGAATCAGTAACTTTAAAGAGAATACATTATAACAAATAAGTTAAAATAAATTTTAATTGGTAAAAATAATTTACTTTCGGTAAAAATAATTTAAGCTGAGGAAAGTTAATTTAGTTTTAGCGAAAATGATATCAATTTCACAAATATCAAGAGAAGAGAACAAGACCTAATAATATTTATAATTGACTCAAAATTTGTCTTTTGTAACTAATACACTTGTCAATTTTTGTAGCTTGTACATAAAGAAATAATAATCATGATTCATAATTGTTACTTATCGAGAATTAAAGATATTGTTAAAGTCATGCATGCATTAGCAAGTGTGATAAATGAAAATGGTTAAGTAAAAAAGAATGTAGTACTTGTGCTTCATATTTGTCCTAATAATTTTGTTTTTTTTGGAAAAAAAAAGTGCAAATTTTTAATAATGAATACTAAATAATATAATAAAACCCTCTTTATAAATTATTAAATCTTGTTTTCAACCATTAGAAAGTTTGATCAACTCATAGTAAAAATATAAATTGACATATTTTTAACTTTTCACACTACTCACACACTTCATTAAACTTTTTATTTGTGATTTATATACATAAGAAATTATAGAGTCAAGTAATCTATTTTAAATTCGTCTCGGTGTATATATTTCTAAAAAAATGATACGGACTATTTTTTTTAATAATACTAATTGTTATAGAGTGTTTGATAAACGTGGAGAAAGAAACATGTCAAAAACCCATAACGCCATAAGTCATCATAGAACAAAAGGGATTTTGTACACTATATATAATTATGCATAGTAATTAATGATATAATAAGATGACCAAGATGTTGAATAATCTGCTTTCCTAGGGTGTTTCTATTGAGCCTAGATAAGATCGACCTGTTCTATAATCATTTGCATGATAGTGTACTTACTCCTTTGAACCACTAACAAGTTTCTGCTACTAACATGCAATTAATTGAGCAATTTGCAAATCATGCATGTTAATGCGAATAATCGTAGTTGACCTACTCCACCTTCATTTTGTCTCCTGTCTTTTTCTTTGACCTTGCATAACCTCGTTACTATATAAACCCTTTAAAACTTGTGTCATCATATCATAACAGAAAAACATTCCAATAAGTCAATTTCTAGTAGTAATATAAGCTTCTAAAACATTATTAGCTTATTTAGCCACAGTACAACTGGGATGGCTAAGTCCATGAGCTACTGTGTTGTTCTTGCTCTCCTAGCACTTGCAGTTGTTCCTCTATGCTTCTCTCAAAAAACCCACCAAGGTGGTTATCTCTACCCTCAGTATTACGATCACTCGTGCCCGCAAGTCCAACAGATTGTTAAGTCTGTTGTTGCTCAGGCAGTTGCAAGGGAACGTCGAATGGCTGCTTCCTTGCTGAGGCTCCATTTCCACGACTGCTTTGTTAAGGTACGTACTTCATAGTTCATACATTCATATCCATAGTGTTCATGTTATTGTTGCATATTTTGTCGAAACCAATCAATACTTACATAGCGGTGCTATTAAAATGGCAGGGATGCGATGCATCAGTGCTGTTAGACAACAGTGGAAGCATAGTCTCGGAGAAGGGATCAAAGCCTAATAAGAAGTCGATTCGAGGGTTTGAGGTCATCGATGAGATCAAGGCCGCAGTGGAGAGAGCATGTCCCCATACTGTCTCATGTGCTGACATCCTTGCTATAACTGCTAGAGATGCAACTGTTATTGTGAGCAATTAAGTATTAATAATTTTCTGCTATATTATATTTGCTATTCACTTATGACATTATGGGCCTTATGGAATGCAGTTGTAAAATGCTGAAACTAAATTAATTTATTAGCATAAAAAAAACATATATAATTGATAATGTTTTAACTTATTAAACAATAATTGCAGGCTGGTGGACCAAATTGGGAAGTGCCCTTGGGAAGAAGGGATTCCAGAGGAGCAAGTTTGCAGGGATCTAACAACGAAATTCCTGCTCCTAACAACACATTTAACACCATTCTTACCAAGTTTAAACGCCAAGGCCTCAAACTTGTTGATCTTGTTGCTCTCTCAGGTTTGTTTCGAAGCATTCTTACCTCAGTGGTGAATCCAGAATTTTTTTTGTACTATACTTATTTTACCAACATACTTGAGGTTTTTTTTATGTACTAAAATAAATCGTTTTTTCTCACAAAAATTGACCAATTTTTTAATGAAGGGAATGTGACATGCATGCTCAATTTTAAGGCTTTGTATATCTGCTCATGATTCATAATGTCCTCTATGTTTTTTAGTTTTACCGACTACAGGTGTAAAATAAGATTGCATTACTTATTGCATTTTATTATTCTAATGTGGATTGAAATTAACAAAAAGGAGTTTTGGTACAGGTGCTCACACAATAGGTAATGCAAGGTGTGTTAGCTTCAGACAAAGACTGTACAACCAGAATCGAAATGGGCAACCTGATGTCACACTAGACCGGCTATATGCTTCGCAGTTGCGGAACCAGTGCCCACGATCCGGTGGTGACCAAAACCTATTCTTCTTAGACCATGTATCACCCTTCAGCTTTGACAACAGCTACTACAGGAACATATTGGCTAACAAGGGACTGTTGAATTCTGACCAAGTTTTGTTAACCAAAAATAAAAAGTCAATGAAATTAGTCAAGCAATATGCTGAGAACATGGAGCTATTCTTTAATCATTTTGCAAAATCCATGGTTAAAATGGGTAACATTTCTCCATTGACAGGACCTAAAGGAGAGATCAGGCAGAATTGCAGAAGGATTAATTCCTACTAAGAATTTATAACAGGACAAAGTCCTCTGTATTTTTATATTTAATGGTATTTTTTTTCTGTATTGTTGTTTAAGTTGAAAATTTGTGTAATATATTCTGTTCTTTTTAACTGTACAAGGAAATTCATAACATGTATGAAGCAGAATAATTGCCGCCTGTGGCAAGCTTCAGAAGAAATTTGTATATCAGTCTTTCCAAATGAAATATATTGATTTGTTTCTTATCTTATAACTTTTTCTTAATTGTTTCATTTGTTTGTTTATCAAAGTTCATGCATGACACTAACATGTTCTTGTATTTATGTCCCTTCCTAGATGAAAATTCATAACATGTATTTATGTTCTTGCTAAAACTGTAAGAGCTTGCTTAATTAGACCCACAAATAAGATAATCTTAAGCAGAATTAGGAGGAAATTAAATATTGGTTTGGCTTCTCTTCTTTTCACTCTTTTTTTTTTTGACAATGGCAAAGGAAAGAAAACAACTACATAATTAAATTAGAGAGGGTGCTACGGCAATTCTTTGCAATATCATTAGCCAATTGCACTTGATCTCTCATGACCTTAATGACCGAACATTTCCTGAAAAAAGCTGCCACTGATCTAATTTCATCAAGCATCCAAGCGATCGAAATGTCGTGTCCTCGGCTATCCTTAAGGTTCTCCAGCAGCAAGGCAGAATCTGAGAGTATGAGGACTTCCTCATAACCTTGGCTTTTAGTCCATTTTAGTGCTTCGAGACAAGCCCAAGTCTCACACTGTAGCGCCGACGTAGCCGTCCCAAATTTGCCTCCTCCCCTATTATTACTAAATAAAACTGGACCCGAAGCAACCCATCCTATTCCCGCTCTAGTAGAAGCTTTCTCCCATGAACCATCAACCTGTAGAACCAATTTGGCAAAATCGGTCTTCTGTCTTCCTAATTGGACAAGGTTGAACCCCGGCGGGAGAGCGGGGTCGATGCTCTCCTCTGTTACACTTGTACACTCACTCCTTACATCCTTCGTGAAAGACTCGTGATCCTTAATAGCTATGTTGACCAATTCTTTGACATATGCCAAAGTAATCTCAGAATCCTGAAAAATCTTCCCATTTCTGGCTGTCCATATACCCCAAAGAGTAGCAATAAACTTGGTAATTCGATTACTACGTTTACCATCCTTGCTATAAAAGAGCAGGATAAAATGCTGGATCCAACTTTGAAAAGAGTGGAGTCCAGGGAGATCATAGCAAACCGTCAGGGAACTACTATCCCAAACTGCCTTCGCTAGAGAACAGTATCGAAACAAATGATGGCTATCTTCCATCTCCTCATAACAAACATCGCAAGTAGTATTTATTGAAATACCTCTATTGGCTAGGTTTACCTTTACTGCTATGCCGTTATGAAGGAGTTTCCAGAGAAAGATCTTCCACTTGGGTTGAATATCCAACTTCTAGATGAGTTTTGCAAAATCTTCATCTGTGGCGGAGAATGATAGATTAGTGGACAATTGACCTTTAGAAAGAAAATAATAGCCAGTCTTTACACTAAATCTTCCGGACGGGTGAAACTTCCAATATAGGTAATCATCCTTTGGTTCCGCCGACAGTTCCATGGATAAAATGTGCTTAGAACTTTCCCAGTCGAAGCATTGTCTAACCTTACCCGGGTCCCAAGACACGATATCCCGCTTAATAAAGTCGCTAACCATCCATCTCATCGAAGCCCCAATCTTTTGGTTTGAGTTAACCGTACGGATCTTCCCTTTCACCCAGGGCATACAGATTGCCCTTATACTTTCCCCATTTCCAACTTTCCATGCAAACCCATCCTTGAAAGAAGTTACTACTTTCTGTAACCCAAGCCTTCCCATAGATGGGCTTCCCACTCTTTTAAACGTCCTTGAGATGTTACATATACCACAAGGTTGGAAGCTATTGTGCACTCTTGAAACAAGGAGTTGAGGGTTCAAATGCATTCTAGTAGCTTGTTTGAAGAGTAAAGCATCATTGAGTTTTGAGATACACCGAATGCCAAGACCCCCCATACTCTTCGGAAGTTGGATTACCTCCTTCTTAACCCAATGCATTCCCTTCTCCCCATTATTCGCCCACCAGAACTTGGTAATAAGCGAATCAATTTTGTTTGCTATGCTTTGGGGAAGCTTAAGACATTTCATGACGTGAGCCGAAATGCTAACCAAGACAGTATTGATGAGGATAAGTTTAGCTGCTTGTGAAAGACGTAAAGAAGCCCAAGAAACAATCTTTCCCCTCACTTTATCAACTAGGAATTGAAAAGAGAGTTTTTTCTTACCCTGAATATCAATTGGAGCTCCTAGATGTATTCCCATATTTTGTGTCTCAGACATAGACAAAATCCTTTCATGGAATCTCTAATCTCAAGTGGCACCCTCGGGGAGAATTTAACAAACGATTTTTGGAGACTTAAACACTGTCCCGAAGCTCTGCTAAATCTGTGAAGGATGTCTCTTATACACAAACAAGATTCCTCTGATGCTTTGAAGAAAAGCATGGCATCATCAGCAAAGAAAAGGTGGGAAATGGCCGAAGATCTCCTCGAAACCTTCAAACCTTTAATCTGCTTAAGGTCTTCAGCTAGGGTGAGCATTCTGGATAGAATATCCATACAGAAGAGAAAGAGATATGGGGAGATGGGGTCCCCTTGCCTTAATCCACATTCGGGGGAAAAGTGGGTAGAGGTATGTCTATTTATGACTGTCTTGTAGCTCACTGTCGAGACACACTGTGATAGCATTCTTACCCAGTGGTTCGAGAATCTATATAGCCTGAGAATCTTCGTAAGGAAGACCCAATCGACCCTGTCGTATGCTTTAGACATGTCAATCTTGACTGCTAATAAATCCAATCTCTTTTGTGAATTTACGAGATGCATGAGTTCGTGACTCAGGAGAATGTTGTCTTCCATGTATCTACCCGGGATGAAGGCATGTTGGTAATCAGAAATGATATCAGGAAGCACTGCTTTCAGCCTATTCGCCAGGCACTTTGAGATGCATTTGTAAATGGTATTACAAAGACTTATAGGTCTGAAGTGCTCGACAGTTTCTGGGTACTTAACTTTCGGAATAAGAACAAGAAGAGATTGATTCCATTCTTTGAGCATGTTCCCAGACCGTAGAAATTGTTGGACCCTCTCCACCACCAGTTGACCCACCTCATTCCAAAAATTCTTGAAAAAGTCTGCATTAAACCCGTCCGAACCTGGAGATTTCGAGTCGTGCATATCAAACATAGCCTTCATGATCTCCTGGTAAGTAAAAGGTTTGTCAAGCCACTCCTGACTATCCCTGGAAATAGGCGGAATATGTAATTGTCGGAGAAGAAGATCAATATTTTCTTCGTGATTGTCCTCTCTTATCGGAGAAAAGACTCCTTTAATCGAGTTAGAAACCAGTTTTTCCACTTCTGCATACCCTTCAACCCATTCCTCTTCGCCTCTCCTTAAAGTTAGTATCTCCTTTTGTATTTGTTGTTGTTTAACTCTCCTGTACATTAACTGAGTAGGGCAATCCCCAAATTTAATCCAGTTGGTTTCATTCTTTGCTTCCAATAATCAAAGTTGAGTTTGCAATCAGGGATAAAAGAGTAGACCTGGTTGAAGAAAGACTCTCCTTTCTGTAACGAGTCTATCCCTTCCCCGGTCCTGCTGAACTCCTTAGAGATATTTCTCCAATTAATACCCCACATCTTTTTATTTTCCAGGCACCAACCTTGGAGGTTATTCCTTACACGAGCTAACTTTTTAGAGAGTTGGAACATACTTGATCCTTGGACTTCCACATTCCAAGAATCTCGAACAATATCTTTTACCTCTTGAAACTTGAAGCACCAATTTTCAATCTGGTAGGGTCTGTTAGATTTTACCGAAGTAGGGTTGGAGTAATAGATGATTGCTGCGTGGTCAGAACACATGATAGGCTCATGGACAACCCTTCCTTCCGGAGAATGAATAAACCACTCCTCAGTAACGTAGGCCCGATCTAATCTTTCTAGAATAAGATCCTGTTGAGTTCTTTTATTACTCCAGGTGAACCGTGGCCCTGAAAACGGGACCTCTGAGACATCACTATTAAGTCTCCAGTCAAGAAAGTCATCTATTCCTCTTATAGTACTCAACCCTCCAAGTTTATCATTGCCATTCTCGACTTGGTTGAAGTCACCAATAATCAAAGTGTTCTTGTAATCAACAAGTAATAGCTGTAGTAATTCCCAAATTACTTTCCTATTCTCTAACTGGGGATCCCCGTAAAAGAAAATCACATACTTAGAGTTTCCATTAATACCAGAAATTTTGCAAAGGATTGCATTCTCTGAAGAAAACAAACATTCAACAGCATCATTGCACCATCCTAAAACTAGAAGTCTTCCCCTACTTCCCTCCGAATCGTACCCAAAAACTGAGGTAGGACTTAAAAACTCTAACTTGCTATAGGCATTACGATAAGCCATTTTAGTTTCAGACACAAATAAAAACATAGGATTTTTTGAGCGATAGATCCATACTAAATAAGGTATTGCAAGGGATTGTGGATCGTTCAAACCCCTACAATTCCAAGCAGCTACATTCATTGATCCTTCGGGGGCTGTTATGGTGCAGCCACCTCACCATTTGTTGAAGCTTTCACTGGTTTTGAGAGAGTCCCATACGAATCCACCTCCATATCATCCTGGTTTACCCTGAGCATAGAGGTTACCTCCTCACTTTTTTGCCTTTTGTAGGAGTCCGAAGAAGAGGAAGATAGTTCCTGAGGTCTCTTTAGCCTAGCCCTTCTAGCAATATCCTCATCAATATCAATTTCCATCTCTCTTGCCATACTAGGATCAGAAATAGCTTTGGACGCAAATCTTTTTTGACCGTTTTTCTCCCTTAACCAAATATTGAAACCACCCTTTTCTGACCATCGATGCAGCCTCTTAAGACGCCTTTTCTCAACCCAAGTGTAGTCTGTCTCACTAAACCTCACTGAATCACCATCACATGAATGTGGGTTGTTCTTTGTAGCTTCCTTAATTCTCTGTTTTGTGTTAGCACTATCACCATAATTAAAAAGCTCAGTGAAATTAAAGGAACTAAAGGGAGATACCGGTGTATTAGGTGGGTCGAACTCCGTAAGGGGAAGGTTAGGCAAACCCCCAAGATCCGAGCTGGAGAGCCTTAGGAAGGGAGGAGTAGAGCCTGTTTGCCTAGCCATCATTCCTCGTGGTTCATTGCTTCTAGCATTTCTTATTCCAAGTGAGAGAATGGTGCTTGCATCAATTACACAAGCGTATTCTGCATCAGTGAGCTGCTCGGAGTCTAATCTGTTTGTTGTTGCAAAGGGAGGAGCCATCTGATCTGGGTGATGTAAGGGGGAAGGGGAAAGCCCTTCAATCCTCACACCCGTAGAAACATCATTGATGGTACCAAAAACCGCCTGAGAAGTTGCCCATTCAGCAAATCAGTGAGCTGCTCGGAGTCTAATTTGTTTGTTGTTGTTGCTCTTCTTTTCACTCTTAAAAATAACGTTTTACCAACTAACATATCTATACAAGTGTAATTGATGATATTGTGCAACTAACACTTACAATATATCATGCCACATGCAATGCGTCATTATTGTGTGTACAGCATTGCCCAAATTTGCTATACTTTAATTTTCACTTAATTTTTTTTTTTTTTTTCATTTAAGGAGAAGGCTCTACCCAAGTTGCAACGTCAAATTTAATCCGGAATAGGACTTAAGAGATGGAATCCCTTAAGCGGGGGTAGGAAATTCCTACCCACAAAGAGCCCTCAGTGGAATTTTATACCACAATTTTGTGGTTATGCCATATTGTCATGCAAAAATTTGCTCTAAGCCAACACCTTGTTTAGTTTTCATTTTGTAAATCATTGGACCATCATATTTGGTGATATCTCCCTATCTGGCCCTTCTAAGTTCTATTGATTAAAAATTTATTTACATAAACTAGAATTTTCATGTTGACCGTTATATGATCAACGAGTAATTATTTTTTGTTAATGTAAGAGGCGTGCTAAAAACATGGTGTAACTAAGCTATTGTCGTATCTTAGGCTGCTTAAAAGCTTTCCAACTAATTAGTCGATCTTAATTATGCCATAGGAATGAGGTGCATATATATGCCAACTAATATGACTCAATTTTATTAAAGAACACTATCTTAGTTAGTCAGCTGGTAGCAGTTGAAAATTATAGGCCATTGAACCAATCATCTTTTTACTCGTCATCATCTAAGACCAACTACTACTCTCATTTATCCATGATTTTGTCGTAATTGAT